CGTAACTGTCAGGAATAGAGTACCGGTCTTCATTCGTCGTAATTAAACGGGATCTGTCTGTCTTTGACCTATCTGATGTCTGCTCGGCCTGTTTGCTAGGTTAGTTACAGCAACACGGGAACAACCAAAAGTTATAGACAAGTGGGCATGGGTGGCTCTCGTCTGTGTCATATCCAGGAACCGCGTTATCGGGTGTCAGTTGTGGCATTTCCGTGGTGTTTTTATCAGTGTGATTTTCTCATATACCTTCCAGTATCATTTATATACCCTGACTACCCTTTCGGCTTTTTCACCTATCCGCAATTTCTACCATAAAACGTGTCGTAGAGGTGTATCTCATTCTGCGCGGATCACTGTTGTGTTTGAACGATGTGTTTGCATTAATATTTAGTTTAAAGTGGTAAAGTTTCTTTAGAAGATGAAAGAAGAAGAAACCCATTTGAACAATGCATTTGTCATTATCAAAAAGAAGACGAAACCCAGAAAATTCTTTATGTTCTTCTTTAGGCCGCCAGTTTATACCCGGCAAATTAAATCTGAATCAGACAACCCGATGGTTAAAGAATCAACAACTTTCCACGCCGTCGTGAATCGACGGTTGACGTGACCCCTAAAGTCATCGTCCAACTCTAAGCTCGCGTCCACATTTCAGCTGCCTCAGCATTCTGTGTTTTAATATGAGGCATCTATCAGGCCGTTTACGACACAGTTGTGTGAGTTAAAGTATGACAGAATGCATTTCCGGATGGTAACAATGAAGAATACACTAAATTGCTTCTTGAAGCGACAGTTCATCACATATGTGGATTTATTTTCAACACAGCTTCACTTTGTACAAACACAATGTACTGCATAGGAACAGGGAATGCCTGGGGGATGTAGATATGTCCGAGCTGACATTCGCTGTGTAACTATCACTTTATATTAAGAGACAGTCTTTACCCGAGACTCCAGGACCTTCGATCGAAATATGACAGTTGTAATTTTGATGCTCTTGTGACAAAAGATCTAAAAGCTAATTCATTTACTTATAGATATTAGTGTAAGTGACAGTTTCTTAACCACCTTTTTTGTTTATGTGACAAAAATTATGCAATTCTTTTTCTAGAGTTTGTCTGTTGTTTTTATTGCAGTCCGCGTTGGTTTGATTCTTTTATGTCTATTTGTTTTTGTGTTAAGTTGCAATTCATCTGTATCATTTTGTCTCAAACGGACTATAGGGCTTCTGCAAATGATAATGCCCTGAAAAACAGCGTTACCCCATTTATAGCTAATATACACAGAGGGCGTTATATGAGTGCCCATGTCATACTAAGTTTACGACACGAGTGCCTAAATGTTGGTATTTCCTGAGCGAGAGCGAGGGATATGCCGATATTTAGGCACGAGTGTCGTAAACATAGTATGATATGGGCACGAATATAATATTCTGTTTATTACCAAAGTCGTCAAATTGAGGAAAATAAAACCAATCTACTTTCAAACACAGGCTGGCTGTTTACTCCCAAGAGTTAGACGTCCCAAAAGTCAGACAAATCAATCAGGCGTGACTGTGATTACAACCTAGTCTTACCCACTGATATACCTGTCCCATACACTAACGAGATGGTTTTCACATTTGTACAGAAATACTGATCAGAATACTAATGTTGACTCAATCACTGGGTTCTCCAAATGTGTTTTCACAATGTTCAATTTTATCATAACAGGCTAATAGATTTTGCATACTTGTTTTCACAATGTTCACTTTGATTAAAACAAGGTTATAGATTTTGCATGTTTGTTTTTACAATGTTCACTTTGATCAAAACAAGATTATACATTTTTTTATGTTGTTGAGTTTCCATCAACCTAAAGGAGTTACTTCCTTCCTAGCATTGTTTTTTCCAGCATAAACAATATAAAATATAGAAAAAAGTACAGGGTGTAGGGTTTACATTCAATTAAAACTGGCAAATAATAGGAAAACATTATCCACTCTACCAAATTCAACACTATCTACACAAAATCAACCTTCATCCAGACGGCAAATGTATCCTCGTACTTTAACTATAATAGTTCAGGGCGAAAGTGTGTTTTATTACACTATACATGGTGGTAGAGCGAACTGTATTTCTTAAATACAGACAAACTTTATGAATAAACAACTCCTTTATTCGGATGATGCTATACAGACAAACTTTATGAATAAACAACTCCTTTATTCGGATGATGCTATACAGACAAACTTTATGAATAAACAACTCCTTTATTCGGATGATGCTATACAGACAAACTTTATAGATAAACAACTCCTTTATTCGGATGATGCTATACAGACAAACTTTATGGATAAACAACTCCTTTATTCGGATGATGCTATACAGACAAACTTTATGGATAAACAACTCCTTTATTCGGATGATGCTATACAGACAAACTTTATGGATAAACAACTCCTTTATTCGGATGATGCTATACAGACAAACTTTATGGATAAACAACTCCTTTATTCGGATGATGCTATACAGACAAACTTTATGGATAAACAACTCCTTTATTCGGATGATGCTATACAGACAAACTTTATGGATAAACAACTCCTTTATTCGGATGATGCTATACAGACAAACTTTATGGATAAACAACTCCTTTATTCGGATGATGCTATACAGACAAACTTTATGGATAAACAACTCCTTTATTCGGATGATGCTATACAGACAAACTTTATGGATAAACAACTCCTTTATTCGGATGATGCTATAAAGACAAACTTTATGGATAAACAACTCCTTTATTCGGATGATGATATAATGACAAACTTTATGAATAAACAACTCCTTTATTCGGATGATGCTATACAGACAAACTTTATGGATAAACAACTCCTTTATTCGGATGATGCTATACAGACAAACTTTATGGATAAACAACTCCTTTATTCGGATGATGCTATACAGACAAACTTTATGGATAAACTCCTTTATTCGGATGAAAACAACTTTATGAATAAACCTTTTATTCGGATGATGCTATACAGACAAACTTTATGAATAAACAACTCCTTTATTCGGATGATGCTGTACAGACAAACTTTATGGATAAACAACTCCTTTATTCGGATGATGCTATACAGACAAACTTTATGGATAAACAACTCCTTTATTCGGATGATGCTATACAGACAAACTTTATGGATAAACAACTCCTTTATTCGGATGATGCTATACAGACAAACTTTATAGATAAACAACTCCTTTATTCGGATGATGCTATACAGACAAACTTTATGGATAAACAACTCCTTTATTCGGATGATGCTATACAGACAAACTTTATGAATAAACAACTCCTTTATTCGGATGATGCTATAAGACAACTTTATGGATAAACAACTCCTTTATTCGGATGATGCTATACAGACAAACTTTATAGATAAACAACTCCTTTATTCGGATGATGCTATACAGACAAACTTTATGGATAAACAACTCCTTTATTCGGATGATGTCAGTATATTACTCTCCAACTCCTAAACAATGCCACTCAAAAAGAACTTAGAATTCTTCTCTGATAGACTTCGGATGAACTACATGAATCTACGTTTTGATCTTGGAGAAACTCTTCTTCGTTGCCTGCTGTAGGATTTTAAAGATTGTCATTAACTTCCGTAAACATACGCAATCATTATTTCTTGATGGCGTTGCTATGTCAGTAAATTTAAAAGCCATGAAGCTTCTGAAAAACTTTTGAGGTGGAATTGTGAAAAATATTCTGTGTATTCCTATTATGACGTGTGCATAACGAACGCGCGCCCGGCGTGTAGTCTCCAGTTCTGTTTGGATTAATATAGTTGAAAATGTTGCAGTATCCAAACGACTGCTGGCTGCCGAACAGTTATCGCCGCGTAACAGTTATCGCCGCGTAACAGTTATCGCCGCGTAACAGCTATCGTCGCGTAACAGTTATCGTCGCGTAAAAGTTATCGACGCGTAACAGTTATCGACGCAGTTATCGACGCGTAACAGTTATCGCCGCGTAACTGTTATCGCCGCGTAGCAGCTATCGTCGCGTAACAGTTATCGCCAATACACAGTATCACCGCGTGCGCACTTCCGGTCATTTAAAATTCCGGTTTTTTTCTCACGGTATTTGACAACAATAAAGGACAGAAAAACAATTCTTCACGGTAAGTAACATAAAAGAAAACTTAAAGATAAATTATGAACCCTATAAAAAGTTATTAACTTAGTCGGGGGAATGTCACACGATCTATATAATAGTAAGTTCAAGTTCGCAAAAGTCATTAATTGTTTCATTCCCTATCACTCTACTGTAAAACAAACACTCAACTTGTCACACAATCAATTGTTCGAGGTTACTGTATGATATAACTATATAGTATTTCACGAATGACATGAGAAATTCTGAAATGGCGATAACTGAGACTAACTGTTACAGTTGTGAGAAAACATCTATTTATACCATGGGCGCTTGACTCTGATATGTTTATAACTATGACCTATATATATCTTATATCTTATATATATAGGTCATAGTTATAAACATATCAGAGTCAAGCGCCTATGATTTATACTGCATTGATTCCCTTCCGCCGCGTTATATAAAAACACGATCGGCGGCAGTGTATGGGGTGGAAACATCGGGGACATGGACACTGAAGTGAATAGCTAATTAAGTATCATAATTAGTTCTGTTTCATTAATTTAACGAACGGCGGAGTAATTTTGTAAATACCGCTAAAATATGTCGATAACTATTCGGCAGCCAGTAGACTTACCTTTGCCACCTACATTTGGTTCTCATTAATGACAGTTGTTTTGAATACTCTTTGATTCAAACTTTGTGAACAATTAAGAACACTTGATTAAGAAAGTAATCGTCCAAAATAATAATTTTCTTAATTTTTGTTATACAAGGATCGAACGCCTCTCACTATTGAGTGTTGATATATATATGATGATGTGGTGGGGTTTAGAGTTATCTGCCCCTTTACACGCAGCGCCACCTATACAGCCATATGTGTTTGTATACATCGAACAACTAAGAGAATATTACGGCGGTTTATTTCACTCGTGAAAGTAGATAGTTGGGTTTGATTCATGGATTCAGACGAACCAGGTATTTACCTAAATCTGACCGACGTTTATCACTAATAAATATTACAAATATGGATATTTAGGCCCACAATCACTGTATTCCTTGACTGTTGCACATTTTCAATTTTCTGCTTAGATAAGTCCTTTTTGTTCAAATGTTATGGGTACATGCGGTCAAAGTCTACCTCCATTTTGTCAGTGAGGTATGCAAGAAACAAATTACTGCTTGTTTATTAGGTAATAGATGCATAAACAAAGATTTAACGATGTGTTACACTGGTACTGGAAACAACAGTCATCAGACACGCGAAGCCATTAATCAGAGATATCAGGTCTACTGAAGCTACCAAATCAGAAACTAACGACCAATAAATATAATTTCATCAAGGGGTATATTCTGAAATTGCCCTGAAGTTTTTAATATGATTAGAGATGCAAACAACACTGATAATGATAAGATGTGGTAAAGCTGTTGAGTAACATTTTGATTCATAACTGAGGTTTTACAAGTGATTTGTCTAGAATTTCCAAGTCAGTGCCTTTGAACCAGGGGGATAGTTCTATTGATATACACATTCTTGGGGCCACATTCTTTATTACAATATATGTGTAGTTGCTAACACCTTTATCAAGCAAGTTATCACCATTAACCTTAGTTGGTTTTACCTAGTCAGATCTATGTATAAAGAAGGGGAGGTAAGTTGCTCACTGAGTTCTGACAGCATGCACAAAGCCACAAACTAATACCAGGTGAAACTCACCTTCAAGAATCATATTACACTTGAACTGGACAGTGTCAATATCATTATCAAATCTTATTTTCATATCTTTAATTTATGTGACTGAACTGAATTTAATAAATATATGCAAGACATAATTTTCATACTATGTGACTATATGTCCTATAACATGTTTTTTTTGGTATCCAACAAAGATTTAAAATTAGGGTAAAATGAAACCTCTTCCAGACAGTCTAGTGTACCAGTCTTGGAATTGTACAGCTTTACATCTTTGAGAAAACATACCCATAAACATGTTAGATATATCACAACGGTTGAAAATTGTAACATACAAACTCCAGTGATCCAGAAAATCTTTCATAACACTTTTGGATATCATTCTAAAACCTACAGAGGAGACTATTTGCTGAAAAAACATTAGATATTTTATCAACAACACCCTCATTAGGCAATATGTACAGTAACTTGTAACCCGTGTCATGGTTTTCGAAATGTTTTTGACACCAAAATTGTGAAACAAAAATGTTATCAGGAGTCAAATTATTATTTCTAAATCCAGTCCATGACTTGAAAATAGAATATGCACTAAGACTTTCCTGAATTTTGAAGTGCACACTTTGTCCATTAAATTCAGAAGTGAGATTCAATGGTAATTATTTAAATCTGAAATGCCATCTTTCTTAAAAAGAGGCAGAATATTATCGAAGTTCCATGAATCAGGAAATTCAGAAGTTCTAACTATGTGACCATATACATCGCTTTTTAAAAAAAAACCTGAAGGTGTGCCAGACCAGATGCCCAGTCAAATTTGATATCTCTCCTTGTGTATTTGGATCTGATTAAACAGATTAATTATAACAATTCTCGTATTGAGCAGTGTCATGTCTAGTAATGAAATCAGAAACAGGTTTGGTGAACTCCAAAGCAACAGTGTGAATTAACAAATCTTTGAAGTAAGAAGGATTTAACAGGAATACTATTATTGCTGCATGAACACAATAAAAACTTAGCTTTACTATTTCTTTACACCAGAATAACTTGCAGTGTTTTGCCTCAATATATATATGAACACTTTCTTAATATAGCTGGAATATTGCTGAGAGTGTCCAACAGATTAAAACCAACCAAATAACTATGTAACATGTGCACATGGCCAGCATATTGACCCTTGGAACCATTATGCACAGTAGGGAGGGAACCATTATGCAACCATCTTTAGGGAGTTGGGTAGCCTCATCAATGCCAAGACCCAGGTTCGATTCCTCACATGGATACAATGTGTGAAGCCCATTTCTGGTGTACCTGACCATGATATTGCTGGAATATTGCTAAAAGCATTGTGAAACCATACTCACTCACTCACTAACCATCTTTATTATTTATGATTCCAGTTCCAGATTCTCCTTAATTGTGGTTGTTGGTTTGTAAGCACCAAGGTCGAATCACTTTAAGTTCATCTTAAGCTCACATTTGGGATGAGCTGTTCAGCTTCAAAATATTATCAGGGCAAGTGATTTTACATGTGCCACTCTACTGGAGTACACTAGCAATTTTAAAGTTATTTCACCCCTGTAGAACTTAGCTATTGTTGTACGAGGCAGCCAACAGTGACTAAAGTGGAACTGATGGATGGAACGAGGTGACTGATTGAGTGTCATCATTAAGTATCATGTTGCTCATGATATTGATCACGTGTTTGTGTACCATTACTTGGTATTTTCAGGTAGTGGAGGCAGTACACCACTCCAGGATGAGCCGGACTATGAGGCTGAAAATGGAGAGGTGAGCATGACGAATATTCGAGAAAAAATACCAAACACGTTTTGAAGTAGATCTGCATCTTCAACCGTTTTGCTTAGTGTCCTCATGTTTTTAATAAAAGTAATAATATATCCAAGATTATCCAGAAATAATCATTCAGTTTATTTTATTCTTTCAAAACCTTACCAAAACCATAAAGCCGTAACTGTGCTATTTTATGACAATATGTAGGCATAATGCTGTATAAACAGAAAGTTTAAATCAGAATTTCTAAATTGTCAGTACCAAAACTGAAGCATTATATATAATTTTACCAAAAGCTGAAGCTTGTTTGTTGTATAATTTACAATATGTTCACCTAGGATTGCACCATTGCAAGAAACTTAAGTGTTGCTTGTTTTGTGTGTGGTCTATCAATATAATCAGTCTTAGTTACCTTTGACCGCCCGGATTGTACCATTGCAAGGATGTTTCATTTCAATATACCAAAAGACGCTTAAATATGGTACTTGTTGGTCCCTGTCTCTGCTTATTCCTTTGTTTTGAGTGTATAATGAATCTGAGTGGGGTATCCATATATACTTGGTATCTCAGTTCTTAAAACCAGCTTGCTTTCTGGGTAGGGTGAAGAAGATGCATGCACATCGCCATGCAAATATTCTCAAGCACAACGTTAAACCCAATTTTACCTCACCTCACCTGCTTGCTTTTGTAGGGTGAAGAAGATGGTGCACCCCGTACTCCGGGTGGCGAGTCAGACCGTGGGCCCCAGAGTGTTGAGGCAGGAGAAGAGGGTGATGGATCGGACAACGAACAACCAGTGACACAGGCTGATGATGGGGACTACTTCAGCGATGGTGGGGAGGTAGAACGAGAGGAGGTCCAGCGGGATGTTGATGATGACGATGATGTTGAGCGAGAGGAAGTTGAACGGGAGGTGGAAGATGACCAAGAGTACCAGCCTGGCAGTGACAACGAGGATGCCAGACCCGGATCAGGTAGTCCACCAGGTTCTCCAGCCAGTGGTTCTATTGCTAGTCCTCCAGCGTCTCCTATGAGTATTGCTAGTGGACCGAGGTCTCCTCCAGGAAGTGGGCCTCAGTCACCAGTCGGTAGTCCTCCAGGATCTCCTGGCAGCCCAATGAGCATGGATGGGTCTGGTAGTCGACCTGGGTCGCCCATTGGAAGTGGCCCTCAGTCACCTGCTGGCAGTGGGCCCAGGTCACCTCCAAGTGGTCCAGCTTCACCAGCTGGTAGTGGTAGCCCTCGGTCACCTGGCAGTGGCCCTGCATCACCTGCAGGAAGTGGTCCACAGTCACCAGCTGGTAGTGGTAGCCCTCGTTCACCTGGCAGTGGCCCTCAGTCACCTGCGGGAAGTGGTCCTCAGTCACCTTCTGGCAGTGGACCTGCATCCCCAGCAGGAAGTGGTCCACTGTCACCAGCAGGAAGTGGTCCACTGTCACCAGCAGGAAGTGGTCCACTGTCACCAGCAGGAAGTGGCCCACAGTCACCTGGGAGTGGCCCTGCTTCACCTACAGAAAATAGGCCGGGGTCGCCCACAGGAAGTGGGCCAGGGTTCCCTGCAGGACTACAGCCCCCTGCATCACCAATGTTCAGTGCACCCAACTCTCCGATGGGATCACCAATGGCTCCTGGTCTTGAGTCATTCCTGCAAGAAGAAGCACTGCCCAGATCACCTGTGTCCGATCGGAGTCGCTCCCCTTCTCCTGGAAGAAGCCGGGCACCGGGAGGGTCACCGTCTTACAGTCCAATGGGCAGTCCAAGGAGCACCTCTCAGTCTCCGCCAGGTACTGTAATGGCTGAACAAAACAATGTGTGTTGTGGATGCAAAGAATGGGTGCCTGTTCGAAGACATCACTATTATGGTTAGATCACAATAGGATATATAAGAGACATGATACAAGTTCAGAAGCACTAAATTCCCATTCTAATGTTATTTTCCCCTGCCACAAAGCAGGATGACGGGGAAAGATATTCTCAAAGGAGGGAAACCAAATTTGAGAAGTGTTTTCAGAACATGAATGCCTGGATGGAGTTCGAACATGGAAACCATGTTACAATTTGTTACAGAGTTATGGCCCTTGTCATTCGTTTCTCGATGTATTGCACAGTATCCCCAATGGGAATAGATATTCTCAGTAATCGTTACAGATAGGAAAACCAATTGTGGTATGTGATTTCAGAACATGAATATTGTGGTGGAGTTAAAAAACAGAAACCATATAGGAACAGAACACTGTGGGGATATTGATGACCATCTCTTCTTGTTCATGCTGCTATGTGTTTCAAAATGTCCTGTTTGTCTTGGCAGTAAAGTTCCTTGCATCCACAAACAGATTGGGCTTGCCAGCCATAGTATTATTCCAACAGAGAACTTTGTTTCTTGGTCTTACAGTTGATGATCATGCAGAAACATAATGGAAAGTTAAATTAAGACAAACATGCATGATGAGAGGAACCTCATTAGTTTGTCTATATTCAAGTAATGTAAGTGTACATACTGTTGTTTGTTAAGTTCTCTACTGGGATTGTACTGGAACAGTAGCTGTAGTGTGTCCTGGTTATCATGCTTCACAGTGGTTGTCAGCAGTGTCAGACATCCCCCAAACTCCTTTAATGTCAGCAATGTCAGACATCCTCCAAACTCCTTTAATGTCAGCAATGTCAGACATCATCCAAACTCCTTTAATGTCAGCAATGTCAGACATCATCCAAACTCCGTAATGTCAGCAATGTCAGACATCATCCAAACTCCTTTAATGTCAGCAATGTCAGACATCCTCCAAACTCCTTTAATGTCAGCAATGTCAGACATCCTCCAAACTCCTTTAATGTCAGCAATGTCAGACATCCCCCAAACTCCTTTAATGTCAGCAATGTCAGACATCCTCCAAACTCCTTTAATGTCAGCAATGTCAGACATCATCCAAACTCCTTTAATGTCAGCAATGTCCTCCAAACTCCTTTAATGTCAGCAATGTCAGACATCCTCCAAACTCCTTTAATGTCAGCAATGTCAGACATCCTCCAAACTCCTTTAATGTCAGCAATGTCAGACATCCTCCAAACTCCTTTAATGTCAGCAATGTCAGACATCCTCCAAACTCCTTTAATGTCAGCAATGTCAGACATCCTCCAAACTCCTTTAATGTCAGCAATGTCAGACATCCTCCAAACTCCTTTAATGTCAGCAATGTCAGACATCCTCCAAACTCCTTTAATGTCAGCAATGTCAGACATCCTCCAAACTCCTTTAACTCCTTTAATGTCAGCAATGTCAGACATCCTCCAAACTCCTTTAATGTCAGCAATGTCAGACATCCTCCAAACTCCTTTAATGTCAGCAATGTCAGACATCCTCCAAACTCCTTTACATGTCAGCAATGTCAGACATCATCCAAACTTAAGTTCAATGGCAGAATATCCTCCAAAACCTTCACAGGGGTGGTGGTTATCCTCCAAAATGATTTCATCTCAACTGGAAATCTATCTCAAATTTAGATTACAATGAGGATAATTTGCTTTACATGGACCCCAATTTTGGGTCAGAATTTCTAGAAGACATTAAGCAGCTTTGCTGTCCGACACCTGGTATAAGCACAAACAGTGGTAACATAGGAAGGACATGTCATTACTGGTAGCTCACTGAAAAGCATGGTAAATTAAATGTGAAGTGTATTTTAAGTTGTTGTCCCGTTTGCCCTCTGGATATTTTTGTTGTTTAAAATGTGAATATTTATGGATGTTAACTTCTTTTTGAGGAACACAACGCATGAGTAAGAATATTCTCTGAAACGTGTTGACATCCATATGTTTTCACCTTGCATCAATTCTGAATGCCACTCAAAGACTTTATTTTATTGTCTGTGTGTAGTTTTATCACACTGATACTAACTCTTGTTACAGAAAGAAAAGTTATCAGAAATAGCATTATGTAGAACACATTTTTATGGATGACAACTTATGGAGGTTATCATCCATAAAAATGTGTTCTACTAGAGGTGTGACGATACAGAAATTTCACGATATGATACGTATCGCGATATCATGGAACGATACGATGCATATCACGATATGCTATCTTTAGTTATTTTCTGTAAAAAAGTGTATTTTGATAACAAGAAACAGAGTAAATTTTGAGATGACCGTCAATTTCTGGTGAAAATTCACAATTGTAAGGTCAACGATACACATCACAATACGGAATAAGTATCGATATATTTATTGTCAGAAAAAGTATCACGATTATTGATACTACGATATATCGTCACAACTCTATGTTCTACATAATGCTATTTCTGATATGGAAGTTGTCATCCATAAAAGTTTGTTCTATATTGTACGTCTCAACTTCTATACTACCCATCAAAAGTTTAGACTCACAAGTGTAACTGTAGCCACTTACTTCAGTCAACTGTTATAAATTAGATTTTGAAAAATATTCCATACTGATTAAAGGTGCTGTTTACACATGAACTGATGTATTGTAAAACAAATTCGTAATGTTGAAAAGATTACTGTCATGAGTTCAAACTCCGTGACAATTGACGAATTCTTAAAGGTCACATGCAACATAAAACACAACTTTGAAGATTCTGATGCCTTTCAGTATGGACTTACCAAAACAAATCATCAAAAATGCAAATTCAACTTATAAAGTTGAAAAATAATGCGATGAAAAAAAATGTGTGAAATCAGAGTTCAAACGATTCACTAATTTTCCCCCAGCGCTTGGGGGAAAAAGTGGTTTCAACAGCTGGGCTGCGCTTGGCTGCATTCATAGCGCATGCACAGTGAAATAGGTTCGCGCAGCTTGGAAGCGGGATGTCCGTGAATACTCGGTGAAGGCTTTGGTGTGGGCTATTTTTCTAATGTTTTGTTGATATTTCACAGGCGTGAGCTTTTTATATGTTATGACAGTAGATTACCGATTTAACTGTTTATATAATTTCATTTGTCTATTTCACCACATGTTCTTCTTACCGAGTCACTTTCTCAGTTCCATACTTAAAAGCAATGTCATTATTTAGCGTCGACAGAATTTCTAACTGTGATAGAGATATGTCGTTGTCACTGACAAAACTCAATGTCTGTTTAGACACCTATGTGTCTGCCTGCCTGTCTGCTAATGACAATATTCAATACACAACTTCAATCACTGACCACATGCAATTTGAACTAAACACCTATCAGGGTATACACCATAAACAAAATGCATTGATTTATGGCCTGAGTTCGGCCTCTGTCACATTATGTAATTACACAGACGTGCAGGTGTGATAATTGTACACCATAAATGTTATACACCAAAAATGAGCATGTATTTACAAGACCCAACATCTCTATATATACACACACAATGAGCCGTGAGGGCATCTGCAAATGAGCCAGCCGTTACACTTGAGTGCTTTGTTTCTTGGGAAGTAAACCCAAGTACAAAATATTGCACTTTTGATTTCCAATTGTACGCTTATTATTTTGTTTATATGTTTTTTCATAATCAGCAATGTATAGTATATGTCATGAATAAGTGATAATTCTGTTTTAATTATGTTTGATTTTTTGGTTGCATTTGACCTTTAACAAAACTTAACCCTAAAACGCAGCTGTTCACATGTACGATATTTGCACATGCTTCCAGCAATTTGATGCATGATCCTCATGCAATTCATCTGCATACGGTTTGCAGTTGGTTCCCCCAAGTTTGTGGAGAAATTCATCTTCAATGTAACCATATGTATACACATAACATATAGTGAGAGCTTTACGTGAGTCTGGACTTTTGATATGTAGTATATATTGCCACTCAAACAAGAAATAGAATAGTGTTACACAGCTTATGAGAGGATCGTTTCCATGGTGTCCTTGAGTTTGTTCATGTATTGATAGAATTAACATGTAACCATTAACATTAGGTATATAACAGGTGCTTGTAATGCAAAAAAACTGACATCAAAGTATATACTGTCACTGACTGGGTCTTAGCAATATGTACAAGGATCCTTCTTATAGTAAAGACCTCATCAGTGCTAGTACAGTCTTTGATGCCAAGGCAAATGCCTAATTTCAAAATATAGTTGTTTATCAAAATGAGTCAGACCTATTATTTTTCTTCATGAGAAGAAACTCATATGACACCATATCTCATGTCTGAAAGAAAAGAGAAATCCTAATGCTCACCAGACATCTTTTAGAAACTTAGATGTCTTGTATGTATTTGAGCTTCTTTTAACAGATGAGAGTTATTCCTGTAGAGTAAATACATCCTAAGCACTGACTAATAAGGGCATCTGCTGACAGGTAGTCCTAGAGGCTCTCCACCCAGTCCCGGCCCAGGCTCCGACAAGGAGAATGATGGGGCCAGCGACCAGGGAAGTGGTGATGAAAGACGGCCAAAGTAAGTAACGTCCTCAGTACCTCATGGGTGGGTATACACTGTTTACTTCTTCCATCACACATGACTACAGCCGTCCAGCAAGTAGTATGGAAGTGATGTGTGTGTCCAACTGTGTTTAACTCACTCAAGTCAAATGAGCCTTTGTGTGGGAAGCCAATGCCAGGTACCGAATGAGCGTGTTGAGTGTATGTGGCACATGATGCATTTCGGTTGTTCACTGGTGTAAACTGAATCCTTTTTCAGACTGTTTGATAGGTCACTTTTCCAAAGCTGTCACTTTCATTCTGATTGTAATGTCCTGAATTGGAAATTTTTATTTGAAAAGCTTTATTTGAAAATTCTGGACCCTCTTAGTCATTCCAGATTATAGACACACTACTTTTAAACCTAATTTGTCAAGCTGTAATTTGATCATTGGAAAGGTTACCTTACAATCCAGGGTGCTGTTGTACAAGACAACCTTAGCGCTAAGACTACCTTAAGTCTATGTTAAGGTATGGGAGTTACGGTCACCTTAGCGCTAAGACTACCTTAAGTCTTTGTTAAGGTATGGGAGTTACGGTCACCTTAACGCTAAGACTACCTTAAGTCTATGTTAAGGTATGGGAGTTACGGTCACCTTAGCGCTAAGACTACCTTAAGTCTATGTTAAGGTATGGGAGTTACGGTCACCTTAGCGCTAAGATTACCTTAAGTCTATGTTAAGGTATGGGAGTTACGGTCACCTTAGCGCTAAGATAGCTTTGTACAACAGCACCCAGTTTAATATGGTTTAACTAAATGCAGTTGCAGGATGATATGGACATTTTGTGTTAAGCATGAACCCTCATAAACAAAACCACAAAACGTTTACATTATGTCTTACAGGGCTCGGAGAATCATTTCAGATGATGAAAGTGACCGAGAACCAGAGCCAGAAGAAAGGAAGAAAGGTGAATGTAGTCGGCGTGTGTAGATTCCAAACATATATATCTGTGAACATGTCCCTTCCCAGTCAATAAGACTAAGAGTTTAATGCTTGTCGGTGAATCAAGGTGAGAGAAAGCTCAGTTTCAGTGTAATGTCCCTGATTATGGCAGTTGTAATTCTAGGGCATTATGTTGTAATGATCCAATACATTGGAATGTATATGTTCATTTACTCTGATGCCAAGATAATATAGATGATCAGGTTATCTGTTACAGTTGCAGACTCATTAGGTGTAGGTTATGTCACCGTTATCAAGTAATTGCTTACCATAGTATTCTCAGTGATCTTTGAAATGCCATCACATATCACTTGCTGTGATAATTGATAAAAATCAGAATCTGATCCAATTGGGGATGTAGTCAAGAATTTTAACAAGATACCATTTCATATCATACTGGGGAAGCGAAATTCAGTTCGCAATAACACTAGATGTGACATAAATCTATTCATCAAATGTATTAGCTTAATGCGTGTATATCAGGGGTTGGCACTGTTGGTTGTACCCAACTAGTTGGCAGTTCATATTAGAGAGTCCATATATAAGTCCCTGGAGACTTCCTTTGTCTTTGGACAAATGAACCAGTGGCCGTGTCTGTCCATGTATATGTGTAATGCTTAAGTGATTGTTCTTCATTGTACTGATAAAAGACGTTAAAATATGGTACTTGTTGGTCCCTGCCTGACGCTTCGGCATTAATGGGTACAACAAGGACTGGTCGGCTCGGAGTCAGTATATTGTGTCTGAGTGGGGTATTCATGCTTCATTGCGGCATGGTATCTCATTGGGCTAGCACTATAAAACCAGCTTAAGTCTGGGCTAGTACAAGCAGCCGCACATGCACATACACATACACACGCATGCATGCACGTCGTCATATGAGTTAAACCCAACTTCACCTCACCTCATTGTACTGATTCTGTTACAGCTAAAGCGAGTGATGATGAAGACAGTGATAAAGAGTAAGTATATGTTTCCATGTGATATATAGAGGATACTAAACGACCTTCCGTGTAATACCATTTTTATTAAACGAGTTAATGATTTGGTATCAAACGAACAAAAGCGAGTTTGATACTAAATCATTCACGCGTTTAATAAAAATGGTATTTCACGGAAGCGAGTTTAGTATTCTGTTTATTACTCTCCCAACATAAATTGATAGAAACTGTCTAGAGTGTGATGACTTGAGTCATCTTTCCTCGAGTCAAGTAAGCAAGCAATTTTATTTCTTGTTTTACGGATCCGCCGGTCGTATTTTTTCAAGATTAAGGAAAAAAAGGTGATGTTTCCCTGCTCAAAAAAAAAAATCCTAATGTTTTATTGGTCAAAAATGTAAATTTTTAACTTACCTTACCATAGGTCTTATGCATATTGCACGAGAGGGGTGATCACGTCACTTCCGTGCCTATACACTCGTAGATACCTGAGGCAGCCATTCTAGAGAATGGCGAATCAACGACTGTCTGATCTCTTCTAAGCGGAGATTAAGGTAATATGCATAAGACCTATGGTAAGGTAAGTATTTAAATATCTAATATATTTAGATTTTAATAAATTTACATGAAAGGTTTTTTATGCCCCCGCCATATATGGCAGGGGCATATAGGGTTACCCTCGGTGTCCGTTCGTTCGTTCGTCTGTCTGTCCGTCCGTCCGTACGAAACAGGGAATGTATTCTATCCACTTCTCCACCATAACCGCTCTGTGGAATTCAATGAACTTATACATGGGCTTTCTTGGGACGCTAATGGTGTGCATCTCATATTTTGTTTTTTTATTTTATTGGTTTTTTTTGTAAGTTTAGGGACATTTGAACTTTTTGAACATTTTGCTGAATTTCTCTATGGTGATAGTGTAATAGGGGATGAAGTCTATCCACTTCTCCACAAAAACTGCTCAACAGAATTGAATGAACTTCTAGATGTCTTTTGTAGGGACTCTAAAGGTGTGCATTTCATAATTTTTTATGCAATTTCTTACTTTTGTCACTTTTACAGATGTTTGAACAGGGGATGTTCTATTCAGCCAGTGTACGTTATCCACATCTCCTCAAAAACTACTTTATGGAATTCTTTTAGATTACACATGTGCTTTATAGGGACTCTAAAGGCGTGCATCTCATATTTTGATTTTGTATTTTATTCATTTTTCCAATTTTAATGCCGTTTGAACTTGAATAAATTTTGTTGAATTTCTCTCTGAATATAGTGTTATAGGGGATGAAGTCTATCAACTTCTCCACAAAAAACTGCTCAAAAGAATTGATTAAGCTTATACAAGTGTTTCATTGAGACTCGAAAGGTGTGCATGTCATAGTTGCATAGATGTTTATTGAACTTGTTCGTGAATTTTGTTCAATTATTGATCTTTATATGTCTTATGAATGTCAGCGGGGGCATCCGTGTCCCTGGACACAATTTTTTCTTGTTTTAGATTGTGTTTTGCCCCATATACACTTCATAAATTGCCCAAAAATACTTTTATTATTTATTTATTTTATTTTATTTTTCCTTATCCTGACTCATGCTAAATGCTTGTCTCCTTCTGCTTGCGAATGATAGTGGAACACTTGAAATCCCTTGAAGTTCCCTTCTAAAAAGCGGATGTATAATCATCACTCACCCACGAGTAGTCTCCCTTGCCTCCATTGGCACCCTTTTTGGTCACATGACCAGCCATGTTTGTCACACTCTCCTTCTTTGCCCTTGAGGACGGTTGTGAGAGCACTGGGGCCCTATATGGCACATATCCTTTTCTATAGTTCTACAACATCTCACCAGTGATACCTACGAGCCTCTAGAACTTACATCCTGTGAACTACTGACTCAGAAAACGCTGTTCCTGATCGCCTAGCAACAGCAGCACGGATGTCAGAAATACATGCTCTGGACTTTGAACGAACACGATTTGAATCAAGACATCGTGACATCGTACATCTAGGACTGAGATGGGATTTTATTGCCAAGAACTAACTGCCCGGCCAGCCTGACAGACAGTTCCACATCCCAGCACTCTCTACAGTCCTTGGGCCACAGGATACACAGGATCTATCCTTATGCCCTGTCAGAGCACTAAAAGTGTACCTACAAAGGACAAAAACAAGGAGACAAAAATTCAAGCGCCTATTCATCCCCGTATCCACTGAGATGCCCACGGAAGTCTCACGGACAACGATATCGATATGGATGAGAGCCGTTATACTAAGGGCCTACAAAGCAGCAGGACTTGAGCCTCAACGAGCCTCCAATTCCCACGAAGTCAGAGCCCTGGCGTCTACACTTGCTCTGCATGGAAACTGCTCGATTACAACAATAATGGAGGGCTGCTTTTGGAAATCGGAGATGGTGTTTGCCAACCACGGCCTCAGAGACATTGCCACCGAAGACGTCTCAGGCATTCACCAGTTTGGGCCACTTGTTGTAGCACAACAACTAACGGTTCCGCAAAGGCTCTGAGAACTATCTCACCCTTTTATCACGTGACTTGTGAAACCAGTGCTCTGGAGAGCAAATGGTTAAAGTCCATGCACACATCTAGGACAGACTAGCATGAGTGATAGACCCTGTACTTGTATAGGACATACTCGTACATGAAGAAGGGTCGCATCTCCACTTGATGCACGCATCAAGAGATGGAGTTGCAATAGATAACTAATGGAATATTAGTATATCTAAATATCCACACGAAAATGTCAGGAGAAGTTTCGGAAGAAATCTGACAAGTTGTGGTCCCCCCCAGACTTATCAGAGGAAGTTGAAAGAAGAATCATCAGCAGTGCCGTCATAAGTTCCCATGGGGGGTAATACAGGACGTAAATCAACAGCCCGAGAATCCAGAAGTGGCCTGACCCACCACCGATTCCTACGGATTCTGCAAGCATTTAGCATGAGTCTGACTAAAATTGATATTTTATGCTTATCCTGACTCATGAGGTCAGCCCTCCCAACCTACCCTCTTATGGCACTCTGGATTTCCCTGTAAATCCGGGTGTCGGGCATACATATGGAGAGAGTGACAAACATGGCTGGTCATGTGACCAAAAAGGGTGCCAAAGGAGGCAAGGGAGACTACTCGTGGGTGAGTGATGATTATACGACTGCTTTGTAGAAGGGGATTTCAAGTGTTCCACTGTCATTCGCAAGAAGAAGGAGACAAGCATTTAGGATGAGTCAGGATAAGTATAAAATATCAATTTTAGTCAGAAAATTAATTTCTTGTTTCCTTCCTGCCTTTAGGTTTTCTGAGGACAAAAATCCGTAAAACAAGAAATAAAATTGGTCTGGCCTAAAGGGGTTTTTTTTTAGTCTAGAAATATCCTCTCAAAAGTTTTAACATCAAATGTAACTTCACATTTCAGTAAAAATGTAAGTTAGACCAAACAAAGTGATTGATTTTTATTGGCTGTGTTAACACTGAAGTATAAGAAACCTTTGCAAAGCTAAAACATTAACTTATGTCATATTTAGGATCACACTTTCCCAGAAAGAAAAGATTCTAGCACTTCTTGAGTTCAGTCCCATCCAGGTTTTGAAGCCATTCTCACAGAGTGAGACATCTAGTATCCCGCACACAAAGTACTAGAATGTCTTCTTACTAAGAAAGTGTAATCCCAAATGTAACATATGATGCATTGATCACTTCATAAGTGGCATTGAGTAACACTTGTTATGAAAACATCAGCAGTAATTGGAAATGGCTGTCTCATGTGCTGAAGAGATGACTGACTGACTGAGTTTGGTTTTACGCCGCTTTTAGCAATATTCCAGCAATATCACGGCGGGGAACACCAGAAATGGGCTTCACTCATTGTACCCATGTGGGGATTCAAACCCAGGTCTTTGGCGTGACGAGCAAACGCTTTAACCACTAGACTACCCCACCGCCCCCTGAAGAGATGGACCCATGAAGGTCCGGGGTAGAATAGGTCTTCAGCAACCCATGATTGCTATAAAAGGCGACTATGCTTGTCGTAAAAAGGTGACTAACGGGATCGGGTGGTCAGGCTCGCTGACTTGGTTGACACATGTCATCGGTTCCCAATTGCGCACATTTATGCTCATGCTGTTGATCACTGGATTGTCTGGTCCAGACTCGATTATTTACAGACCGCCGTCATATAGCTGGAATATTGCTAAGTGTGGCGTAAAACTCAACTCACTCACTCACTCCTGAAGAGATGACCACATGTAGACCAGGAAGAACATATGAAGGTCCCCGTGTTGTAATACTGGAATCCGATGAATATCATGCCCAGCGTCAGTAGTGTATGATGGTGTGTTCCAGGTCAGTGGCAGATGGTCTCATTGCTGATATTTTTGGCTCAAGCGATGAAGATGAAGAATTTGAGGTGAGCTTGTTGTAATCAGGTATTTAGAGGACTTTTGAGTGTATTGTGGTCAGTTAATGTTTCTAATATGTGAGCCTCAAACGTAACATGGGATTATTTTATCATTTACTACAGTTGTATAATCAAACCAAACTGACAGTAAATATATTCATTCTGATTCATACCCAACCAAAGATGATGTGATAGTGGAGATTGATGCCTTCAACATGGATGAGGCCTTTTTTTTTATCACAGATGATGGTATACAGTAGCATTGTATCACATCAGAATCATATTCTTGATGTAGAGTGGCAGAAACTTGCCTCTAATATCTTGCTGAATTTCTGACAATGAAAACATGTACATGTGGTTGTAATTAGCCTGATGTATTTGGTGGCTTAAAGTAGATATGGAAAGTTGATATTCCTGCTTCCAAGTAGATCCAGATGGAGGGCATAAGGGGATGGGTGCCACCATTCTTTTGTTCCAAAGATGAAATAAATTATGTACACATAGCTGAAGATGATTTCCAAGATGTTTGCAAATTATCAAATTAAGATAACTTCTACTCAATTTATGAAAATTATTCTTGCAACAGTTAATTGACATGTAAGTCTATGGAAATTTCACTAATGATGACATACTAATGCTTCCCTCCCCCCTTCCCCCCAATTTTGTTTTCTTTTTTCCAAGTTAATCATTCTGTGCCAGGTGTAATTTATACATGTGCCATTACAGTGACACCTTCCATCTAACTCCATACATCTATGACCGCCTCCGTGGTGTAGTGGTTAGAGCGTCCGCCCGGAGAGCGGAAGGTCGTTGGTTCGATCCCCGACCGCGTCATACCAAAAGACGTTAAAATATGGTACTTGTTGGTCCCTGCCTGGCGCTCAGCATTAATGGGTACAACAAGGACTGGTCGGCTCAGAGTCAGTATAATGTGTCTGAGTGGGGTATTCATGCTTCAGTGCGGCATGGTATCTCAGTGGGCTAGCACTATAAAACCAGCTTCAGTCTGGGCTAGTACAAGCAGCCGCACATACACATACACATGCATGCACATCGTCATATGAGCGAAATATTCTCAAGCACGACGTTAAACCCAATTTCACCTCACCTCACCATACATCTACCTACTATTTCAGGGCTTTGGTGAAGCTGATGTAGAAGCCCATGCCAAGAAGAAAGAGAAAAAGAAAGCAGGTAACATTGTCAGTCCTATAGAAGGAGGTTCAAGTACTCACTTACCTCAGAGTAATGTCTTCCTTCACCTGTAGGTCACTTAAATGAAGAAGCCTCATTAATCCAGACATAATCTGGTTCTGCATTTCCTGATTCAAACATCATGTGTGCTTAGTGATGTGTATTTAGCCATGTATATCAATGTTCTCAGCAATAATTACCCAGAAGAAAAGGTTTCAGGATCCTGTGCAAAATTGTTGATTGTACTTTTTATCCCCCTGGCATGTATAGTCGATGCCTCGTCCGTCCATCCGTCTGTCCGCAATCATTTTGTTTTTGGAGCATAACTCGAAAACCGTTCAATATTTTTCTGCAAAAATTGGTAGACATATCAAACAGAGCCTAAGGTGGTGCCTTTTTCAATTTACAGATTTTTGTCATTTTTATTTTTCTCGGTTTCCATGGAAAGGATTCGGACATAGTCTCAAAAGGGAGGGGTGGGTTTCATTTCCGGAGCACATCTCGAAAACTTCTTAACATCTTTCAGCAAAACTTGGCAGAAATGTGAGACAGATCCCAAAGTGGTGCCTTTTGCTATTTGCAGATTTTTTGCATTTTTATTTTTCTCGGTGGACTTAGTCTCAAGCTACGGGTGGGCTTGTTTCCGGAGCACAACTCAAAAGCTGTTCAATATCTTTCTTGAAGACTTGGCAGATATATTAAACAGATCTTGAAGTTGAAGTTGAAGATCTTTTGCTATTTCCGCAGATATTTGGCATTTATACTTTTCCTGATTTCCATGGAAACGATGTGGACTTAGTCCCAAAAATCAAGTTGGACTTTAAGTAACTGTCAGATGATTTGTTCTTTCAAATTTGTGGGGTCCGGGGGGATTTGTCATCTTCTGATGACTCTTGTTTCTTACAGCCGTGAAATCTGACGATGAGGATGGTGGTGCCAGTGAAGCTGCTGGTCAGACAGGTGCCCTGCCTGAACTATCTGATGACGAGAATGAAGATAATTTACAGAAGGACAAGTATGTCACTCGCATTTGTTCTGTATCCGAAACTTCCTGTTTTCTCTTCAATGTTTCTGTCACGGTCCAAAACAGTATTCATCCATTCTTCCTGATTAAACCATGTGTTGGTGACAAACTGTCCAAACTTTAATGTTTTGTTGTGTAGTATTATTCCATTGTCTTAATATCACCAATTTCGTAACTTCTGACCTTTACAGCTTTGTGTCGGACTTTGACTTGATGATTGAGAGGAAGAAGGAAGAACGACAGAGACAGCGGAGGAAGAGGAAAGACTGTGACATGATCAATGATAATGATGATCTCATCGCTGACATGATCGGCAAGATGAAGTTAGCAGCTGAGGTGGGTTCACTGTCCACTGGACATTGTTCACACGTGGGGGCGGTGGGGTAGCCTAATGGTTAAAGTGTTGGCTTGTCACGCTGAAGACCCGGGTTCGAATCCCCACATGGGTACAATGTGTGAAGCTCATTTCTGTTGTCCCCTGCCGTGATGTTGCTGGAATATTGCTAAAAGCGGCGTAAAACCAAACTCAGTCAGTCAGTCAGTCAGTTGTTCACATGTGCCAACTGTTCTGTTACTTTATGGTAGTGTTGATACTGACTTTGATGAGCCCCCTAGGGATCCTGGCAGAAATCAGTCAGAAATGGCTCACCCGTGAAGATCTGGGTTAGAATTGGTCTTCAGCAACTTATGCTTGTATTAGGCTACTAGTGGGATTGTATGGTCAGACTTGCTGACTAGGTTGATGTATGTCATCTTGTCCCTTGGATGATTATTTACGGACAGCTGTCATATAGCTGGAAAAGTGCTGAGTGCAGCATGAATTTGGTAACTGTTTGATCCCTTGACTGACACATTGGATTGCATATCTTTATTGACTTCTAGTTTGTTCAAGAACTGTTTGATCCAGTAAGGTATACTGGCCGAGTGTCAATATTTCTATTGACTTCTAGGTGACTGTTTGATCCCTTGAGTGACACTGGTTGAGCATCAGTGTTGCTACCAAATCCAAGGTAACTGTTTGAATGTGTTTACAGGAGGATCGGGAGTTGAACAAGAAGAGACAGCCTGCCACAAAAAAACTGAAACTCCTGCCCTGGGTCATCTCACAACTCAAAAAGTAAGCAGAGTAACGATTATTAGCCAAGTGATTTCAATTTCAAATCAAATTTCATCCAGTGTTACATGTTTCTTTTCCCAGTACCATCCGGTTCCGGAAACCGCATTTCCGGATTATCGAGGCAAATTAAATAGGCATAGTTTGGTAACAAGCTTAAATCGTCCGGGAGGCAAGACATCCGGATTATCGGAGTCCGGACTAACGGGGCTTCACTGTATATGATATTTTCAATATTGAAACATGTGGAGGTTAAACTTTATAATAATGTCATTCTTAAATAAAATGTCAGCGCATGAAGCAACAGTGTTTTATTTATAGATTTTTGTTGACCCTCGTAGAAAGATTCCTTTTGAGGCCAGATGACTTTGGATTGATAATTGATTTTATGCTTCTTTTACAATACACTTGATTTCCTTGCAGAGCTGATCTTCACATAATATTTCTAGACTCTGGGATCCTTAGTGCAATTACAGTAAGTGAAGTTACAGGTACAAAGTGTGAAGTCCAGTCAAGTTGTCTTAAATGACTTTGCTGGAATATTCTAATTACAAAAGTGACTACAGTATCACCCAGGGAAAGGGGAGACAACTCTCAATGTATAATCTAATCTTGATTTAATTTATGTATTAAAGTGTTATGTATTAAATGAAATATTTAGTGAATAGTGTCATATTTCTGTGGAAAATAAATTTTGCATAAAAGATCATAAGAGACTGTTCATAATTTATGGCTAGGGGGGAGATTGATGATGATATTTATGGAGAAGCATGTACAGTATGAATGCCCCCCACCCATAATTTTTTAATAAAATACATGAGCCCAAAAAATGTATGTATGAAGTAAGTGCCCCCCTGAATGTCATGTACAAAATCAATGCAACTCCCACCCATAATTTTTTAATAAAATACATATTTATAAAGAACCAAAGTGATATTATATTTTGTTGCTTTCAGGAATGGCTGGCACCTCTTCCAGATAAAAGTCTGCCACATCTGACCATCAGGGACTGTTTACTGAAAATATTATGGGATGTAAGTGACTAGTATCCTGTGCTTGTCATGGGAGGCAACTCAGTGGATTCATTGATAATGATGCTTTGTTGAATGCCATTGTACCCTAAGGGTTTGGGCCCATCTTGTCACTGGTTTGTCTGGCCCAGACTATACACGAAACCTATGATAATGGGTGATCGGGTAGCCTAGTGGTTAAAGTGTCCGCTTGTCATGCTCATGATCAAGGTTCAGTTCCCCACTTGGGTATAATGTGTGATTCCAATATATGATGTCCCTCACCATGCTATTGCTGGAATCAGGGTTTTACGGGATGCGTGATTCCTGCGTATTGGACGCAGAAATTTGATGATGGACCCCCTAAACGAAACGTGGGATATAGTATTAGGCTCCGTCCGTTTGTACGTACGGACGTACGAATGTCTTAAGAACCATTGACTAGATTCTTTTCATACTTGGTACCTAGGTACAGTCATCACATACCTCATCACAGTGTAAGAAAGGTCCCAGTCAGGTTTGGTGACCATGACCTTCATTTCAATGTCACAAGGGGACTTTAACGTGTTACCCTTGTCAGCGTTCACTGAATTTTCTTCATATTTGATACCAAGCTTCATATAGGGAAGGTGCACGGCCCAGTCGATTTTGGTGACCTTCACATAATTTTCAAGGTCACGACGACACTTTCAGCATATTTGCCTGCATGTTAAGCTTGTCAGCAAGATATCTCAAGAACCGTTCACTGGATTTTCTTCATGTTTAACACCATGCTTCATATAGGGAAGGCGTGGGGCCTAGTTGATTTTGGTGACCTTCACGTAGATTTATTTGCGTGAAACATGCAGGTTTTTGTGGAGGATTTTTCACTTACAGGCTACAGTGACATAATAATAATAAGGCCACTTAAATAGCGCTGAACCCCACACCACACCCCACACCATGTTCTAAGCCCATACAACATACTGGACAATATGGTTAACCCAAGCTACCTGTGAGGTGATAGAAGGTTAACAACCATATGACTTATCCCACTGGGTACCCATTCACTGCTGGGTGAACAGAGGCCATTTTGAACAAACTCACTAAGGATGGAATGCCGTTGATCCCAGCATGAAGCAATAAAGAAACAATGATATACTTACTGGGTTAATGGTTGGATTCTGTTTATGAATATCCGAAAATGATCATGCAAACAGAATCACGAAAAACGTACATTTGATGTGTATTTTTCAGTTTCCGGCCATCAGCTCGGACAGTCTGAAGATGAGTGGAATCGGGAAAGCTGTTATGTATCTGTACAAACATCCCAAGGAGATACGCCCAAATAAGGAGAAAGCAGGGAAACTAATCAGTGAGTTGAACATTATGTAGTATTGTACTCAATTTAAGGACATGAAACCTACTTGCACATGGTGCAACCTTAGGTAGTAACCTTGTTCCAGACAAAAACAGGTTGCACCTGCTGCTGAATATCAAGTTATATATCTGTATTTGATGATTTATAACATCTATAGCAAAATTATTCTGGGTCTGGTCAGATTATTTTTATATCACTTCATAAAATGTCATGCCATGAACAGTAACAGTCATTCAAATGCTGTAAGTGTAGTGATAAGAGTCACTGCTCCAAGCAAGTTCCTCATCATTCAGTCGGTGTGCTTCCAACAGCAAAATATTAACATGCACTGGGTGCATTAACATAATAATAATAATAATAATAATAACGAAGCATGCTCAAAGCGCTACAATCTGATTATTATTACCCCGGATAACCCAAGCTGCCTGTTAGGCGCCAGAAGGTTATAGTCACAGGACTTTACCCAACCGGGTACCCATTTTCTGCTGGGTGAACAGAGGCAATTTTGAACAAACTCACTTGCCTAAGGTGAGACCACATGCATCACATGTGCTTCGTTGTGGGGCAGGACTGAAGTCCTAGAAACTCTCAGGAGTCAAGCTGCCAACACGGCATCCAAGGGCTGTCCGAGCCCAACGTTGCTTAACTTCAACTGATTTGTGACCTGAGCGCTATGCACAGGACCACGTGCCACCACAGGACACAACATGCATGTTGGTTTAAATATGAGGTTGCACTTTGCTGAATTTTATGGATAACAAATTCTTGTTGATGTTTGCGACGTTTCATTATACATTTTTGTACCATTGTCAAGCAAAAATGTACCACAAGGAGGAGGGGATGTATATTTGCAGAATGTTACATTCCTGCTTGACAACGGTACAAGAATCTGTATCAAAATAAAAGATGTTGTTATCCTTCATTATACTTTCTAACTAACTATAATGTTATTGGTCCAGACTTGAATATTTACATGTCTCTGTCAAAAGGTTGGAATATTGCTGAGTTTCGCATTTAACAACAAACAAAATTATTTATCTGTACATTTCCCTTCAGATGAGTGGTCTCGGCCTATTTTCAACTTAACATCAAATTACAAGACTTTGTCCCGAGATGAGAGGGAACAAAGAGATTATGAACAGCTGCCAAAGAGGAGGAAACTCAGGTAAGCACTACAATCCATATATACCTGGGTCCCCGTTGCACAAGGTGATTATCGCGCTGAGGGACTGTTAATAATTTATAGCTAGGGGGGTGATGATTTTTGTGATTTTTGCATGTACAATGTGAATGTCACAGCCCCCCCATCCCTCCACTACAATTTATGTACAAAGTAAGTGAACAAAACAATGACATGCCCCTTCCCCCACCCCCAATTTGTACACAATTTGTGAAAAACACGCACTCGCACACAGACAGACACACAGAGGGAGAGAGAATTAGAAATTTCCAGATAAAATATTTCAATGTATGTAATAGTAATAGTTATTGCCATAGTTTCCGAGTTGTATCGGCAGATATCTGCCGATGCAACGAGGATACTATGGCAATAAGTGACTTACATCTCATTAATACCGAGTGAAAACAATTTATATCTTTTTAATTCTTAATTGTGAATTTCCACAACCTTATTTGGGCCCCTCTAGTTTTTGTCAATGAAATCTGTAGTACTATAAACATTTTCTCAAGTGATTTGATTGCCTCATCCAAAATGCACGAGCATGGCGTTCCTGCACGTGCAATATTCAGGTATAAACGCAGAACACGTGTTATACCTTCATTGAGCCATGGAGTTTGATAAGGATGGAGACGAGTTGTTGTCTCAAATTGACATTGAGGACCGAGAAGACTTTAAACTTACATGTAGTCAGGAGCAACGGCGCTTTAAATAGTGAACCTGTGACCGGTGAATTTATCGAAGCCTTGCATCAAAATCGGATTCCTCAAAATACACAACGGAATACTAAATGGTGTGTAAACATCTACGACTTAATGAAGATTTTCAAAAGTGTCCTTGTATCTGATATCAGGACACTTTTCGACAAAGAGTCCTGATATCGATAATTAACAGGACACTTTTATGAATGGTTGCCCCGGGCAACGAGGTGTTAGTGGGATGTAAGTTGATACAAGTGATTGGGTTCTTTTGATTTTACCGTTTGTGATATTTGTCCCATGGTGTACAGATTCTTGATGCTATAGATAACTGCCTCTGTTTCAGCATGGAGGGGAGTCAGACACCAAGGAGAGATATCGACAATGCAATGGAAGGAGAAAAGAAGTAAGTGGTTCTGCAACCATATCCGTGATGTTGTCCAATGGTGTAAAGTAAAAGATCATGTCTATTCAATCTTTATTAGCAGCTTGTTATAGTTAACTGAAGGTTTGGGCTTAATCTTCTACCCTACCTCAGTTACACTAGTCCATCTTCTCATCGCAACTCACTTATTGGCGTGTTTGTGTTCAGATCACATCTTATTTTATTGTTTATGTTCAGATCACATTTTATTTTATTGTTTGTGTTCAGATCACATTTTATTTTCTTGTTTATATAACATGTTTATCCCATGGATAAACTACAGAATGTTTTAGCTTCTACCAAGAATGTGTTTCTTTCAAACCATGAACGGTTCTTTATTAATGGAGAAGCTCAATGTTTGAAGAGTTTTACTGTCAGCTTAGTGTGGAGGAAAACAACCTATCATAGATAACATTGGTGGAGCAACATATATTTAAATGACAAAGGCGTGGTCATTATCATGGTACAGTCATCCCTCGCAATAACATTCTTCGCGATACCGCAGATTCGGTTAAACCACTTGGTAATCTGTGGCTCCCATTAAAAAGGTGCCCAGCGATCACACATCTTCACATCATCGAAAATACAAATCTGCTTTTGAGCTCAGGTTAATCACGTAAACTAGCGAAATTCAGTGCAGATTTCAACGAACAGTGTGCATCGTACATATCCGTGGTATTTCAGATGCTTAAAAACATCAAGGCTTTTCTTGAATAATCAGACGAACAGCGGAGCATCATAATAACTTCTAAAAGACTTTATCATTAAGACATGCCATGAGCATGTACTTACATATTAGAGGAAGTATCTAGACCTGCTTAGGGGCCAATATTACACCACAAGTTAGTAAAAAATTCCGAAATTAAAAGACTTGTGTTTAACTGATAACCAGACCAATAAACAGGAGTATTTTATGTAATTTTTTTGCACTGAATGAAAATTTGAAATACCCCTTAACTTGACCTTTAAGAAAATCCCAAATATTTTCTTTGGCACTTTGGAATCGTGAGTTTGGAGTGCTGAGTGCCACATATACATCTCTTCTGTCTTGTTATATCTGATGTTTTTGTCATAGCGTTACAACGCCCATGAAAAGACTATCCTGGGTAATACGTACCCCCCAAATTACAAACATTGATAGATTGTGATCCTTGATGTGATATTTGTTATGACCTTGCAGAGCGTTGCGTCCAGGTGACCCAGGCTGGGTGTACCGAGCCCGAGTCCCGACTCCTTCCAACAGAGACTATGTTGTTCGACCAAAGACAGAGATAGAGTACTCTGCAAAGAAGGTTTGTTTCCTACTGGAATTTCTTCACGATGTCTATATATGCCATGATGGCATGCTAACATGTCCGATGTGATGTAGATAGCAGGAGAAAGTGATTACAAGGTTAAATAAATCAAATATAATTTTATGTCAATTAATATGCACTTACTGCATATCTCCGGTTATATATTACATATAAATATTTATTTATGTAATGGTGGTGCGATGTTGATCTTATCTGTGTGAACTATGGATATTTAAATTTGACGTCAATGTATTGGCATTGATGTGAGTAAGAGTTTACGCCACTTTTAGCAATATTCCAGCAATATCGCGGCATGGGACACCAGGAATGGGCTTCACATATTGTAATTTGATAGACCTCCATAAAACAATAAGGAGGAGATAACAAACACTTGTTTGGCAGTTAAGGTGGAGTTTAAGATAGGTAAACAAGTCGCTGAGGGAAAAAATATCATATGGCCCAACACCAACCTAAAATACTATAAACACTACAGACACCATAATTACGGCATGTATCGAGTAATAACAGAGGTTTGAGTCATAAGCAAGAGTAGATAAAATATTGAAAAAGATTTAGGCAGAACAATGTGTCATGAGTAGGATAAAAGAACGAGGGTAGGGAGGGAGGGTGATTAAAGAAGTTAAAAAGATGAGGGTAAAAAAACCAGTCACACAAGCTGGGTCAGGCGGGACGGAAAGGAGAGAACACATGCATGGTAGAAAACAAAACAGACACTTCCGGTTGTTGTGCAAGTTAGACATCATGACACATGATTCTGCACCCATGTTGGGAATTGAACTCAAGTCTATGGCGGGACAAGCAAACGCCTTAACCACATGGCTACCCCCACCACCCCTATGTAAGGATATAGTTCAATCAGTTAAAAACACACGATTAACAAAATGCTTATTCTGTATATGCTGTATGACATTTGTTTTACAGAGTACAGGAAAGAAAGATCCCAGTCGGTATGATAAACATGCACGAGCATTTGCAGACAAAAAGAAGCACAATAAGGCCCAGAGAGCAATCACCATCAGTATCGAGGGCCGGAATATGGCTCTCTGAGTCCTCGGATGCATGCTGGGAATGCTCCTTGTCAACCAGTCTCCATCAACGTAATGGTTCAGGAACATGGCCCCGACACTTCTGATGCATGCTGGGAATACTCCTTGTCAACCAATCTCCATCAACGTAATTGTTCAGGAACATGGCCCCGACACTTCTGATGCATGCTGGGAATACTCCTTGTCAACCAATCTCCATCAACGTAATTGTTCAGGAACATGGCCCCGACACTTCTGATGCATGCTGGGAATACTCGTTGTCAACCAATCTCCATCAACGTAATTGTTCAGGAACATGGCCCCGACACTTCTGATGCATGCTGGGAATACTCCTTGTCAACCAGTGGTCATCGATGTAATGGTTCAGGAACATGGCCCCGGAACTTCTGATGCATGCCGGGAATGCTGTTTTCATCAGCGTAATGGTTCAGGAACATGGACCTGATTCTTCTGATGCATGCTGGGAATATCCAATGTCAGCCAATCTGAGTTAAGGACACTCAGCCAGATCTGCAGGCTGTTCACCGAAACAGAGATGCGATGAAAATGATGTTTCTGAGGATTATTTTTGATCTGTAAAGAAACACCATTAAATGCAACTAGTGTATGAATGCTCTAAGCTATTCCGGCAGTTACGGAAAAGTGTTTGTTTAAAAAAATTCACTGTTTATGATAGTGATATATACATGAAAAATGTGAGTAGGTCACAGAAAATGTTTTAGTTTGAGAAAGGGAATGAATTATCTGAGAGAAAGTGTAACACTATTTGGCATCAAACTACTGCTACTTTCCAAGGAGAAGGGGTTTACCATGTAACATTACTTATTTGTGTGACTAGAGTCTATTTGGCAGTGTAATACATTACAATGAATTATGTTACAAGTTGTACTTGGAATTTCCAAGTGAAACATTAATTTTACATTTGAAGACTTATTTACAACCACAACATGGTTGATGCTAATTTATGTCTCTGTTCTGTACATTTTGATAATTTTATGCATGAGAGTGCTGACAAAAACTACACAAGAAATCAGCCCCAAGAATGATTCTAGGGGACAATTTCTTGGATTGTTATTATGTTTCTCTGCAACGTCATTAAAATCAGATCTTCGTTGTCTCTACTGCAAACAACAATCTGAGGACATCCCATAACAGGTCATGTCAGGGCGAAATGTCGTCTAACCAATCAGTAGGTCACTTCCTAAACAGGCAACGAAGGTTATCATTGGGTATTCTGAATGGCAGTCATGGGTTGTGTGACAATCTGAATGCAAGATATTGTCTGTCTTTCACAGGGATAAATCTTTGATGAAATAGACTTTTAACAGCCCATGGAAAGTACATCTCCGCCATATGTATGGCTTTACAGATTTTTGGGTGTGTATTTTTTCAGTTTTCACATTTTATCAATGATCTTATCAAAACGTTTTAAAGTGTAATCTGGAATTACCATTTTGAAACTTGCTGTTCAGCTCGTTGAAGATTTTTCTGATTTGCTAATGTTCAGGTTCCTGTTAGTCATTTACCTGGTTGTCGGAGTTCGTGAAAGGATGTGACTCAATTGTAATGGGATGTTCTCTTTGGTATAACTGTACTGAGCACACAAATATGATTTTAATGAGACTGATTTTCTGAAAATAATGGTCATTTTCTCAAACTGAGATGGAACTTTAGATTGTAATCCGACAATGACATGGACTATGCGGTAGTTCGCGAAGAAGCTTTATATTTAAATTTCTTTACTGGATCTCTGATTCCAAGATATCTGGTATGGCAACAAACTGTGTGTATCTGACTGTTGAGAATGCGAACAGTTAACATATATATGGAAATGAACCTATGTTCTGGTTGTCAGGACAAAAGGCATTTTTACAACACCTAGGTATGGGATAACAAGTGTTTCAGGGCCCCCCAGTTTGCTGAATGTCTCTCAGCCGTGTCAGGATCTGCTAATTGGGGGAAATATATCCCAGAGTTACCATGGTAATGATGATTGGTCAGTTGATGCTATATCAAAGGCTCAATGTCTATGTCATTTTGTCTTTCCTCATGAAACTGACACAATGTCACATGACTGAAGTACTGTTCCAATCTGTGTTCAACCAAACCCTATTTTGAAGTATAGGTGTTTAGTACAGGAGACATGTCTTCAAGGGCATAGATCTTGAGAACCTCATTAAAATAAATATATCTTATGGATCATTTATAAGATTGCTAAACATTCATCTACCGATATAGATGTACTGGAGAAGAATGTTGGATGTAAAAATAATTCTTATTTGCACAACTTTTGATCCCTAAAGAAGCAAGTTTGACAATGACAATATGGTGTTTTACTAATTTAACTATTTCCAATTATGATTACTTCTGAAAACTACATACTTCATGAATCAGAGATCATTGATTAGAACCTGCCACCTGGCACAGTTTGTGAAGTCCAGCACCGTATAGCTTCCTCATGCCCAAGTAGTCGACATGAAAACAGTATTCATTCTGTTCCATTTATTCATTTCATTTCATTCGCTTGTTTAGCGTCCAGTTCTTTTTTACATGCAGATATTCATTCCACATGATAGTCTAATGTTTGTATTGCTGAAACTCCATGAAAGATAGACTGGTTCAGTATTATCCCATGGGGATCATTTCCTGCCTCCTTGTTGTGAGGGGCGGTGGGGTAGCCTAATGGTTAAAGCGTTGGCTCATCACGCCGAAGGCCCGGGTTCGAATCCCCACATGGGTACAATGTGTGAAGCCCATTTCTGGTGTCCCCCGCCGTGATGTTGCTGGAATATTGCTAAAAGCGGCGTAAAACCAAACTCAGTCAGTCAGTCCTTGTTGTGACGTTAAACTGGAAGTAATCCATAATGAGTGAGTATAGTAATACGCTGCTTTTAGCAACATTCCAGCTATATCATGACAGGGAACTCCAGAAATAGGCTTCACACATTGTACCAAGATGGGGAATCAAACCCGGGCCTTCAGTGTGACTAGTGAACACTTCAGCCACTAGGCTACCCCACCGCCCAGAAGTTACCATAATGGGAAATACTCAACATGTGAACAAAGACCAAACTGTAAATGGGCTTCAGACATTGTACGTATGTTGAAATTGAAACCGAAACCTGGTCTTCAGTGTGATGAGCGAACGCATTAACCACTTTGCTTCCTGGGACCCTATCTACAAAACGTTCATTTGTAAGCCGATGATAACGTATAGATTTATGATAACACTTTGTGGTTTGGGATTCTGGTACTGAACAAGCAACATGATGTTCAAACAATTATAATGGGAATTAGTCAGTGTGTGAACAAAATACCATAAAATTTAAAATTGATGTCTGTGCGCCATGCATTGAAGTCTGAGGAGAGATTTGAAGTGAAGATGTGGAAGTGGTAGCCTGGTCATATGGTGTCATGTATTATTCTGAATCATTCATCAATTCATTGTGTACATATGTCGTACATACACCTGTAAATAGATTTACGACTGAAAAATGAAGAATATAAAATTTTGAAATCATTCTTTATTGTTGTTTGTCAATTTTACAAATGGTAACATTAGTAAGTGGAACAATGGAAGCATTTTGGTCCCAACTGATCAATTTATTTGTTTGTTGTTTAAATGCCTCAGTCAGCAATATTCCAGCTATATGGTGGCATTCAGTATATAATCGAGTCTAGATGAGGCAATCCAGTGGTCAAGATCATGAGCATCAATCTATACAATTGGGATACGATGACATGTGTCAACCATGTCGGTGAGCCTGAACCCAACTGATCAAGGAACAGATGTCCAAGTGATCAAGGAACCATTAATGAGACAATCTCCATGGTCAAGTGGAAAGAGCTTCTGACCAGATGTTTGCTTGTTTCTTTATTGTTTAGCCCCATGCTCAGCAATATTCCAGCTATATGGTGGCGGTCTGTAATTAATTGAGCCTAGACCAGACAATCCAGTTATCAACAGTATGAGCATTGATATATACAATAGGGGTATTGCCCAGAAAGCGGAAGCAAGGTGCTTCTCTGAGCACACTTTCACACCAGTTGATCTGAACATCATCCAATGTTTGTGTTATAACTGATCACCATCAAGTTAGCAGCATAGCTCCCTGTGCTACTAATAACAGCATGTCATTAAATGTTAAATTACTGGCAAACAAGGATAAGTTGGACCGGCGCAGAGAACTCGAGAAGTAGGCGGTGCAATGAGCAAACCCATTTGGTTTTTGAAAAGTAGAGCAGATGTAGGCTAGTGCACATGCATTGCATGAGGATGAAATTGAGTCCACGCGTAGCTGCAGACGCCATGCTCATAAGACTCTCACGTCAGTGTAGCAAGTGGCACTACACTTGATCGCGGACAACCTGGGTCCCCTTCGCTAACAATGGCAAGCGCCAGTGGGCGGCACTCGTACATGCTAATACGGGTCAATTGTCAGGTCGGTGCTCAACTTATCCTTGTTTCCCAGTAAGTGTTCACAGTTTCATCATTAGAAGCTAATGGTAATTAAAGACAAGAAATCTCAGGGATCAAAGAACCAGTCAACACTGACAAGGCTCGCTGATTAACAGACCATGCGCAAATATACAAGCTGAGTTGCTAAGCAACAGTATAACCGCCATTACTAAAGTAGCTAACAAACCTCTGACAAGGCTATCGACAATATGTATTGACATCCAATATAGTCGGTTGTGACCAATTATCACTGGAATTATTAACTCATAGGTCTATATATCAAGTAACCTCTCCTTGGGTAATTAGGGAAATTAGTACTGAGAACCTGCCCCTAAAATATGTCAAATACAGCTAAATAAAAGTTTCGTGTTAAAAAATAAAGACATTTGGCACCAATGAAACATTGCTAAAAACAGCGAAAAACAAGGGTGCTGAAACACACCAGCACCATGTTTGATTCAAACGCCCAAGCACAACAGCCTAGTGCATGTGGAAGACAGACAATGGTATGACATCTCAATAGTGCAAGCTGTAGGATGGACACATGTAGTGAGTATAATGAATTATTTTAAACATTAAGTTGTCTTAATATTTTAAAGAAATATTCTTCGTTGATTTCACATTCATATTTAGTTTTTGGTGTCTCACACACACACACACACACACACACACACACACTCTCTCTCTCTCTCTCTCTCACACACACACACACACACACTCTCACACAAACTCTCTCACACACAAACACACTCTCTCACACTCGCACACAAACACTCTTATACCACAGACAAACTCACACACACTCTCTCTCTCTCACACACATGCAAAATAAAAACAAAACAAACAAAAACAAAAAAAGAAATGACAACAAAAAACAAACAAACTTAACTTAGCTAATTTGTTGCTGTGCAGATGAATCATTGCTGATGTACCTGCTGGACCAGGAACACCCACACATTTCCTTACTCACATTCACTTGTTGTAACTTGTTCTATGAGTAAGTTGTGGAACATTTTGTTTGCTGACAGAGGGGTTGGGGGGAGAGACCACAATTGGACTTCACACATTTTACCATGTGGGGAATCTGCCCTGGTTTCAGAAGCATGACAAACACACATGATCGTAATCGTGATCATGATCGTGATGGTGAATCATTTCTGATTTACTTTATCACTCTCATTCATTTGTTCAATTAGAAACTTCTGTAACTTTTTGTGTGTTGTTAGCTTCAGAGCGGGTTTTTTCGTGATGTCCAAGGCAAACACATCAGCTCCATTCTTCAAGAGCTTTTCAGCAATTGCAACATGATTCCTCTGACATGCAACATGTAGTGATGTCTGCTTCTTGTTGTTCAAAGCATTCACGTCTGCACCTTTCTTGATTAGAAACTCAACCATGGCAGGCCCCCCAAACTCACAAGCAAGATGAAGACATGTGGCAAGGAACTTGTTCTGTAATTTTAAATCCTGCAAAGTTGGTTTCAGTTCTTTTAGAACCCGCAGACCCCCTGGCCTACAGCAAGCAGTGTGGAACGCAGTGTTATTGGTAGAATCCACGCATTTAGGAACAGCACCTTTCTCAACAAGCAGTTTCACCAACTGGGGTTCCTTACTTGCACATGCATAATGTATAGGGAACCGTAGGTCGGGAGCTGGACCAATAACGTCTACAAGTTTAGGCCAGGCTGTCAGTAAAACCTTCACCACTTCAGTCCTTCCGTTTTCACAGGCTTCATGTATTGCCATCTTTTTCAACTGATGCCCTATCTTTGCTTTTGCTCCTTGATCTATCAGAAACTTCACGATGTTGGCATGTCCATGTTTGGCCGCAATGGTCAAGGGAGTGTTGTCATAGTGATCATGAAGGTCAACTGGAGAGTGGTATTCGGTCACCAGCAGCTCCACCACTGGGAGATGACCATGGAGACATGCAGTGTTAAGCAACCCACCTACTTGAACAACTCCTTCAACTGGGGACACAGTCAAGGAAGCTTCACTACATGTTGGCATTGCAAGGGACATTGTTGCACAGTCTTCTACCATATCGGAAGATGATTTTACAACCTTGAAAACTATTTTCAGAGCCCCTACATTTCCTGAGATACAACATGCTCGAGCGATTCTTTTAATGTCCTCTTTAGATATTGGTAGCTTGCGTTTCTTGTGTTCATGGAAAATCCACCGAAACAAGTGTTCTTTCTCATTCCATGATGACCAAAATAATAACGGAAATTGATGAAGATTGTCTTTTGATTTTAGGATGGAGTTGATATCTGTTTTAGTCTCACAGTAATTTGCGAAACTCTTGATAAATGAACCATCACCTAAAGCTTGATGACGAGTAACCAGATATGGAGAACCTGAGCGTATCTCAGTCACAAATCTTTCAGACAAGAAGTCAAAATGACCACTCCTTATTGGGAAATTTCCCTCATCATTTTCTTCCTTACTTTGAGAATTTACAAGCACTCTCTCACACAGAAATTCCCCAGAACAAATCTGCAGAAGTTGTTTGGGATATTCAGTCCCAAATACAATAGCAACAGCATCGCATACACAGCTATCTATGAAGATGAAGGAATCGTTGTTTTCAGACCTTTTCAGGTACAGGCCTTCATTCAGAAGATCTTTGGTGGCTGATTCTAGTTGAGTCAACGTCACTTCATATGGCAACATGGCAAGAACTTTTTCTGCTTTCTTCAGAATGAGACTGTCTTCTAATACATCTTTAAGGAAGGAATCCTGTAGCTCTCCCAAAACCATCACAAGCAATAGTACTATAAAATAGCTCTTATCATCCTTTTGCCACAACAATTGAGCTGAAAGCTTATAGTATAGAACTGGCTTCTGGAAGAACTTAACAGATTTTCCTTGGTCATGTAAATATGGTGACTTTGTAAATATTTCACAACATTTGGGGAAGGCAAGTGTGGAATTATTTGCACAGTTTACAATTTTATCCACTAAGTCATCTGGAAGGATAACATCGCGTTGCTTGAGATGTGTATACAAGATGGTTCTTTTGTCACTGACGGTCAAGCCACCAACCTGTTTCACATCGACAACAGAACTTGCAGTAAAGAATTTCTTAAGTTTTAAATATGGCCGACATTTTGTAAAAATCCTGTTGTTGCAAGTAAAGATGAACCTTTTGTTACCAGAAACACAAACGCTAACTGAGGCAAAATACTCCAGCAACAAATTTAGCTTCGCTTGATCGAAGTCTGATACTCCAAAAGTGTTTTTGATGAATATTCCCTGTTTCTCATCTATGTTCAATGCCTCCCTCATTTCTTGTACACTTAACAGGATCAGAGGTTCAAAGTCCTGCTCTTTTCGCAATTTCAGAAGAACTGCTTTTGCTATCATGGTCTTGCCTGCTCCAGGAGGTCCAACAATGAATACCACGTTTTCCTCCTTTGACACTTTCCATACTTCATGAAAAGCCTCTGTCTGGACAAACAGCTTCTCATTACTTGCAATCTCCCTCAGGCTCTGAGCTGCAATACAAGATAAATACAGATTGACTAAGTGAGCATGTGACACCACGGACAGGCTTAAAACAATTTACAGTAAATCTTGAAATTGTTGCATCGCCAAACAATTACGACTGCTGGCTCCTAGCCAATCTGTGCAGTTGGGATACAATGACATGTGTCAACCAAGTCATCCAGCCTGGACCCCGTTCCTCAAAGCAATCATAGCACTATGACTGTCGTAGTCTATGTTATAGTATGGGAGTTACGATCATCTTAGCGCTACGACAGTTGTAAGTCTATGTTATAGTATGGGAGTTACAATCATCTTAGCACTACGACAGTTGTAAGTCTATGTTATAGTATGGGAGTTACGATCATCTTAGCGCTACGACAGTTGTAAGTCTATGTTATAGTATTGGAGTTATGATCATCTTAGCACTACGACAGTTGTAAGTCTATGTTATAGTATGGGAGTTACGATCACCTTAGCGCTACGACAGTTGTAAGTCTATGTTAAAGGTCACATGCAACCAAAAAATCAAACATAATTAAAACACAATTATCACTTCTTCATGACATATAATATGCATTGCTGATTATGAAAAAACAAATAAACAAAATTATAAGCCTATAATCGCGCAGATCAAAAGTGCAATATTTTGTACTTGGGTTTACCTCCCTCGAAACAAAGCAGCCGGGAAACCAAACCCAGTCAGAGCGGGTGGGTGTGCACTCAAGTGTAACGGCTGGTTCATTAGCAGATGCCGCCTTCACAGCTCATTGTGTGTGTATATATAGAGATGTTGGGTTTTGTAAATACATGCTCATTTTTTGTGTATAACATTTTGCAATCAACAGACATCATAACATGTCATGTGTTCAAGTATCACACCTGCCTGTCTGTGTAATTACATAATGTGACAGAGACCAAACTCGGGCCATAAATCAATGCGTTTTGTTTATGGTGTATAGCCTGATTGGTGTTAAGTTCAAATTGCATGTGGTCAGTGATCGCAGTTGTGTATTGATTATTGTCATTAGCAGACAGGCAGGCAGGCAGACACACAGGTGTCAATAAAACAAGACATTGAGTTTTGTCTGTGACAGCGACATATCTATATCACAGTTAGAAATTGTGTCAACGCTAAATAATGACATTGCTTTTAAGTATCTAACTGAGAAAGTGACTCGGTAAGAAGAACGTGTGGTGAAATAGACAAATGAAATTATATAAACAGTTTATTTACTGTCATAACATATAAAAAGCTCGCGCCTGTGAGATATCAACAAAACATTATAAAATGACTCACACCAAAGCCTTCACCGAGTATTCACCAGACAGCCCCCTTCCAAGTTGCGCGAACCTATTTCACTGTGCACGTGCTATGAGCCAACCCAGCTGTTGAAACCCGTATTTATGATCATCTTAGCACTACGACAGTTGTAAGTCTATGTTATATTATGGGAGTTACGATCACCTTAGCGCTACGACAGTTGTAAGTCTATGTTATAGTATGGGAGTTACGATCATCTTACCGCTACGACAGTTGTAAGTCTATGTTATAGTATGGGAGTTACGATCATCTTAGTGCTACGACAGTTGTAAGTCTATGTTATAGTATGGGAGTTACGAACATCTTAGCCCTACGACAGTTGTAAGTCTATGTTATAGTATGGGAGTTACGATCATCTTAGCACTACAACTGTCATAAGTCTATGTCAAGGTATGGGAGTTATGATCATCTTAGCACTACGACAGTTGTAAGTCTATGTTAAAGTATGGGAGTTACGATCATCTTAGCACTACGACAGTTGTAAGTCTATGTTAAAGTATGGGAGTTACGATCATCTTAGCACTACAACTGTCATAAGTCTATGTTAAAGTATGGGAGTAATGATCATCTTAGCACTACGACAGTTGTAAGTCTATGTTAAAGTATGGGAGTAATGATCATCTTAGCACTACGACAGTTGTAAGTCTCTGTTAAAGTATGGGAGTTATGATCATCTTAGCGCTACGACAGTTGTAAGTCTATGTTAAAGTACGGGAGTTATGATCATCTTACCACTACGACAGTTGTAAGTCTATGTTATAGTATGGGAGTTACGATCACCTTAGCGCTACGACAGTTGTAAGTCTATGTTAAAGTATGGGAGTTATGATCATCTTAGCACTACGACAGTTGTAAGTCTATGTTAAAGTATGGGAGTTACGAACATCTTAGCACTACGACAGTTGTAAGTCTATGTTAAAGTATGGGAGTTATGATCATCTTAGCACTACGACAGTTGTAAGTCTATGTTAAAGTATGGGAGTTATGATCATCTTAGCACTACGACAGTTGTAAGTCTATGTTAAAGTATGGGAGTTATGATCATCTTAGCACTATGACAGTTGTAAGTCTATGTTAAAGTATGGGAGTTATGATCATCTTAGCACTACGACAGTTGTAAGTCTATGTTATAGTATGGGAGTTACGATCATCTTAGCACTACGACAGTTGTAAGTCTATGTTAAAGTATGGGAGTTATGATCATCTTAGCACTACGACAGTTGTAAGTCTATGTTAAAGTATGGGAGTTACGATCATCTTAGCACTACGACAGTTGTAAGTCTCTGTTAAAGTATGGGAGTAATGATCATCTTAGCACTATGACAGTTGTAAGTCTATGTTAAAGTATGGGAGTTATGATCATCTTAGCACTACGACAGTTGTAAGTCTATGTTAAAGTACGGGAGTTATGATCATCTTAGCACTACGACTGTCGTAAGTCTATGTTAAAGTATGGGAGTTACGATCATCTTAGCACTACGACAGTTGTAAGTCTATGTTAAAGTATGGGAGTTATGATCATCTTAGCACTACGACAGTTGTAAGTCTATGTTAAAGTATGGGAGTTACGATCATCTTAGCACTATGACAGTTGTAAGTCTATGTTAAAGTATGGGAGTTACGATCATCTTAGCACTACGACAGTTGTAAGTCTATGTTATAGTATGGGAGTTACGATCACCTTAGCGCTACATCAGTTGTAAGTCTATGTTAAAGTATGGGAGTAATGATCATCTTAGCACTACGACAGTTGTAAGTCTATGTTAAAGTATGGGAGTTACGATCATCTTAGCACTACGACAGTTGTAAGTCTATGTTAAAGTATGGGAGTTATGATCATCTTAGCACTATGACAGTTGTAAGTCTATGTTAAAGTATGGGAGTTATGATCATCTTAGCACTACGACAGTTGTAAGTCTATGTTAAAGTATGGGAGTTATGATCATCTTAGCACTACGACTGTCGTAAGTCTATGTTAAAGTATGGGAGTTACGATCATCTTAGCACTACGACAGTTGTAAGTCTATGTTAAAGTATGGGAGTTATGATCATCTTAGCACTACGACAGTTGTAAGTCTATGTTAAAGTATGGGAGTTATGATCATCTTAGCACTATGACAGTTGTAAGTCTATGTTAAAGTATGGGAGTTACGATCATCTTAGCACTACGACAGTTGTAAGTCTATGTTATAGTATGGGAGTTACGATCATCTTAGCACTACGACAGTTGTAAGTCTATGTTAAAGTATGGGAGTTATGATCATCTTAGCACTACGACAGTTGTAAGTCTATGTTAAAGTATGGGAGTTACGATCATCTTAGCACTACGACAGTTGTAAGTCTCTGTTAAAGTATGGGAGTAATGATCATCTTAGCACTACGACAGTTGTAAGTCTATGTTAAAGTATGGGAGTTACGATCATCTTAGCACTACGACAGTTGTAAGTCTATGTTAAAGTATGGGAGTTATGATCATCTTAGCACTACGACAGTTGTAAGTCTATGTTATAGTATGGGAGTTACGATCACCTTAGCGCTACGACAGCTGTAAGTCTATGTTAAAGTATGGGAGTTATGATCATCTTAGCACTACGACAGTTGTAAGTCTATGTTAAAGTATGGGAGTTACGATCATCTTAGCACTATGACAGTTGTAAGTCTATGTTAAAGTATGAGAGTTACGATCATCTTAGCACTACGACAGTTGTAAGTCTATGTTAAAGTATGGGAGTTACGATCATCTTAGCACTACGACTGTTGTAAGTTTATGTTAAAGTATGGGAGTTACGATCATCTTAGCACTATGACTGTCGTAAGTCTATGTTAAAGTATGGGAGTAATGATCATCTTAGCACTACGACTGTCGTAAGTCTATGTTAAAGTATGGGAGTTACGATCATCTTAGCACTACGACAGTTGTAAGTCTATGTTAAAGTATGGGAGTTACGATCATCTTAGCGCTACGACAGTTGTAAGTCTATGTTAAAGTATGGAATTATCATCATCTTAGCAGTACGACAGTTGTAAGTCTATGTTAAAGTATGGGAGTTACGATCATCTTAGCACTACGACTGTCGTAAGTTTATGTTAAAGTATGGGAGTTACGATCATCTTAGCACTACAACTGTCATAAGTCTATGTTAAAGTATGGGAGTTACGATCACCTTAGCACTACGACAGTTGTAAGTCTATGTTAAAGTATGGGAGTTACGATCATCTTAGCACTACGACTGTTGTAAGTCTATGTTAAAGTATAGGAGTTACGATCATCTTAGCACTACGATCATTTTGTGGAATGGGGCCCTGACCATTAATCCCATTAGTCACCTCTTCCAACAAGCATGGGCTGCTGAAGACCAATTTTAACCCGAATCTCCACAAGTTGATAATGATCATCTTGGGGCACCTGTGTAAGTAGGGCTGGAAAACGCCCTCATTTTCATATTGCGATATATTGCAATAATTTAAGAGATATGCAATATATATTGTGATATACTGACTGGAAGGTTTCTGCCCAGTGTGTACATCATAAATTCATAATAGCTCTCTGTGTGCGACATCATCTTCTCAGTTGCTGTTACACCATACTTTCCGGCTCCCGGTCCCCATTGTGTATGGCTGTATCCCAATGGTTTACAGATAAATAAAATAACATAGAGCCTTAATGTGGAATATATTGCACCAACGTTTTGCGATAAAGGTAATAGTACAACATGATTTTCATAGTCAGTGTGATTTGCTTAAACAGAATGCACTTCAGTGCAGTATGTAATTATTGTTACTGTATGTGATTCATTCCGATTCAATGTGTTAACATGAACTATTGCCAAATGAAACAAAAACCAGATTTAGTTGAACTACTTGAGGCTCTACTAATAAGTCCAAATACAAATTGGTCCATTTGAGGCCACTTAATTCCTCCAAATGAAACCACTCAAACCCACAAAACGTAAAGTATTTGGTAGACTATTTGGCCATTTTAGAGCCTTTTATAATGACACTTCCACTTGTGGAATGTTACACGAAACCAACAGAAATAAAGGGGTATTCGGCACATTTAGAGCACATTTGTTTGCTATGGAAATCAAGGGCAGATAATTCAAAAGGAGCTAACTTTGGATGACCCAATATATTGCAGAATCTGAACCATATCGCGATAATCGTATTGCGAGATACTATACCGGTTTACCGGTAATATTGCACAGACCTATGTGTAAGTATATCCTGACGTTGCACCTACTTCTAATGTTATGGTAACCTTCCCCCGTTGACATCTTGAAGATATTTTTATTGTAGTTTAAGTTTCCCACTGCTTGCACATTGTTGGAGCGATTGACAGAAACCGCCATGGCACTCTTGTCTTGACCTGTAATGGAAATATGATCATAACAGACCATGGCAATCTCCGAATGGACAATCTGATTTTGTTTCGTTAGGTATGGACGAGTTAAATAATGCTGAAAACAGAAACGGTTGGGGAGGGGAGAGAGAGGTGTGAAGAGAAACTATAGAGCATGGAGAGATGGAGAGAAGGAGATAAGGATATCAAATGAGTTGTATGAATGAGTAAGGGACGCAGGGATGAGAGAGGGGGTCTTACATCATGTACATGAGAGAGAGCAGTGTGAGAGTGAGTGAGTTTAGTTTTTTGCCACACTCAGCAATATTCCAGCTATATGGCGGCGGTCTGTAAATAATCGAGTCTGGACCAGGCAATCCAGTGATTAACAGCATGAGCATCAATCTGCGCAAATTGGAACCGATAACATGTGTCAACCAAGTCAGCGAGCCTGACCACTGGATCCCGTTAGTCGCCTCTGACGACATAGGTTACTGAAGACCAATTCTACCCCGGATCTTCACGGGTTGAGTGGCATGAGACAGAGGGTCATGAACGAGAGAGAAAGAGGTGAGGATAAGTGCAAGGGGTGTGAATGACAAAGGCAGGAGTGATTGTGAGGGACAGGTGTGAATGAGAGAGGCGGGTGTGATTGAGAGAGATGAGTGTGAATGAGAGAAAGGAGTGTGAATGGGCGAGACAGGAGTGAATGAGGGAGAGGTTGTGAATGAGAAAAGAGAGTGAATGAGAGAGTTGCATAAGAGAGAGAGCAGCGTGAGAGAGAGTGAATGAGGAAGAGGGGTGTGAATGAGAGAGTGGGGCATGAATTGAGATCAGAGTGAATGAGAGAGAAGTGAGGATGAGTGAGAGGGGAGTGAATTGTGAGAGGAGAGTGAGTGAGGCGCATAAACAATGATGAATGGCAAAGAGGAGCATGAATGAGAGAGAGAGCAGAATGAGAGAGAGCAGCATGAAAAAGAGACGTGTGATGGAGGGGTGCGAATGCAGAGAGGAGCATGAATGAGAGAGAGAGCAGAATGAGAGAGAGAGCAGCATGAAAAAGAGACGTGTGATGGAGGGGTGCGAATGCAGAGAGGAGCATGAATGAGAGAGAGCAGAATGAGAGAGAGAGCAGCATGAAAAAGAGACGTGTGATGGAGGGGTGCGAATGCAGAGAGGAGCATGAATGAGAGAAAGAGCAGAATGAGAGAGAAAGCAGCATGAAAAAAGAGACGTGAGAGAGGGGTGCGAATGCAGAGAGGGGCATGAATGAGAGAGGGACGTGAATGACAGAGTGGAATGTGAATGGCGGACGGGCGTGTATGAGAGAGAGCAGCGTGAAAGAGAGACGTGAGAGAGGAGGGTGCGAATGCAGAGGGGCATGAATGAGAGAGGGACGTGAATGACAGAGTGGAATGTGAATGGCAGACGGGCGTGTATGAGAGAGAGCAGCGTGAAAGAGAGACGTGAGAGAGAAGGGTGCGAATGCAGAGAGGGGCATGAAAATGAGAGAGGGACGTGAATGACAGAGTGGAATGTGAATGGCAGACGGGCGTGTATGAGAGAGCAGCGTGAAAGAGAGACGTGAGAGAGAAGGGTGCGAATGCAGAGAGGGGCATGAAAATGAGAGAGGGACGTGAATGACAGAGTGGAATGTGAATGGCAGACGGGCGTGTATGAGGGAGAGCAGCGTGAAAGACAGACGTGAGAGAGAAGGGTGAGAATGCAGAGAGGGGCATGTATGACAGAGGGGGAGTCAATGACACAGAGGTACATAAATGAGAGAGTGGGGCATGAATTGAGATCAGAGTGAATGAGAGAGAAGTGAGGATGAGTGAGAGGGGAGTGAATTGTGAGAGGAGAGTGAATGAGAGACGTGAGAGAGAAGGGTGCGAATGCAGATAGGGGCATGTATGACAGAGGGGGAGTGAATGACAGAGAGGTACATAAATGAGAGAGTTGGGTGTGAATCCCCCACATACAGAGTTTTCACTTACTTGCTCTGTTAACAGTCAGATTCTGATTTCTCTTCAGAGATGAGCAGCCTGCTGCATTACCAAAAGGTAGAGCTAATGTACTCATGTGATCCACATTTCCCAGAAATATATCTTTCTCTAAGTGTCTTGCTAAAGGCATCCTCTGTTTATCCAGAAGTATCTGTCCTACTGTTTCAGTCACAGTATCAACACCAGTCTGTTCAAATGGTAATGGTCGTTTACAGAACTGACTTGAATCTTCATCCGAGCAGTCTTCCACCATTATGGAGGCTGGATTGATAGGCTGATATTTGGATTTCATATTCAAGAATTCATCTATCTTTACCCGTTCATCCATTTCCAACTGAATGTGAGGAGGGTCCTCTAACAATGGCAGGGAAGACGAACTTCGTATCTGTTCAGCAGCTCCTGCACAATGCTGTAGTTCTCTCTCAGTGTCAGTGATTCTCTCTGCCTGTTCTCTCTTCTCTGTCTTTATTTCATCAAAGTCTTGTATTCCTTTCTGACTTCTACCTCTCCTATGGACATCTTTCATAATTTTGTCTATTTGTGCTAGCCCTGTTTCACTTATTCCCATTTCACCTCTGCCCATTACGCTTTTGCCCAGTTCACTTCGATACGGTTCACTTCTGCCCATTTTATTTTTGCCGAATTCCCTTTCTCCTATTTCACTTCTGCCCATTTCACTTTGCTCCATTTCACTTTTTCCCAACTGACTGCTGCCCATCTTACTTGTGCCCAATTCCTTTCTGCCCATCTTACTTGTGCCCAATTCCTTTCTGCGCATCTCACTTGTGCCCAATTCCTTTCTGCCCATCTCACTTGTGCCCAATTCCTTTCTGCCCATCTCACTTGTGCCCAATTCACTTTGATCTTTTTCACTTTTCCCCATCACATTTTTATCCCTCTCACTTCTATCCATCTCACGTCTGCTCACCCCTGTCACGTCTGCAGCATCAAGGACTGGGAAGTGTCTACCTGACTGGATACCATGGGCATTGTGTGTTGTTGATTCAGCAGTGTTGTCTCCATGTGAAGCTGAATGTATACCAGCATGACTCTCATCAACTTTAAGACAATACTTTTTCCTTTCTTTATCGTTCCCAGTGGTGAATATGTCATTGCATGTAACCCCATTTGCTGTTTGACTGTGTGAATGCCATCCATCTAATTTCATATTGCTCATCATCTTCATCAGAGAAGCTTCCTCGGAGACATCAGCCTCACCTGCTGGATCTCTTCCACCCAAAGCCTCATGTAGATTGGATGGTGTCCCTGTATCACCTATCCCTTCACAGGCAACTGTGGACTTCAATTTACAGTCAGATAGAACTGCTTTCATCTCTGTCTGCATCTTTGCGGGTATTTCATCAATTCTGAGTCCCTTAGATAGATTTGTTCTGGAAATAAAAAATGAATCCTCTGAGCTATTGGAGGTCATTCCACTGCTTGTCATAGACCAGTTCATATTTGACCGAAATTCTCCCATAATGTCCTTCATGGTAAATGGAGTGTCCACAGTATAGTCCTCCTGCCCATTGGGTATCATCTGCAACAATGAATCACTCTCAATTCTGTGATTTCTTTTGGATCCCTGTGAGGCTGGTGGATCCACTGAATGATTGTGTTGTCCTTCAGAACCCCCCACCGCACCATATTTGCCAGGTGACCAATGGTCATTACCTGCATTCACTGAGCCCTGTTCTGCTGGGTGCCTTTTGTCAGGTTGGACATAATCAGTCTCCATATTGCTTACTCCTAGGTCTGCACTTCTCACGGGTATGGATGAAGTTCGAGGCCAAACTGCCTGTCTCTTGTGCCTACCATTCACTGTCACAGAACCAACATTTATTACTGGCAGTTGGTACCCTGGTATACTTGTAGCATGACCTTCATAGCCAACGCTCGTTACAGGTATTTGGAATCCTTGCACACCTGTATCATGACCCCCTTGATAACCAACACTCATTACAGGTACTTGGAATCCTTGAACACCTGTACCATGAACCCCTTGATAACCAACGCTCGTTAATGGTACTAGGGATCCTTCCACACCTGTATCATGACCCCATTGATAACCAACACTCGTTACAGGTATTTGGAATCCTTCCACACCTGTATCATGACCTACGTGATTACCAACACTCGTTACAGGTTCTTTGAATCCTTGTACACCTGTATCAGAACCTCCTTGATTACCAATGTCCGTTACAGGTACTTGAACACCTGTATCATGACCTCCTTGATAACCAACCCTTGTTACAGGTACTTGGAATCCTTGTACACCTGTATCAGAACATCCTTGATAACCAACATTCGTTATAGGTACTTGCACACCTGTATCATGACCCCCTCTTGTCAAAGGAACTGGATGCCCTTGTACATCTCTATTGTGAACAGGATGACACAAAGGATCCCCCTTCCAAGACGTAGCTTGTCCCCACGTTGCCCATGTAACAGTCTGATCGCCACCTCCACAAACAACATTCCCATCAGTCTGCATGAGGTGGGAGTTTCTCAGACACACCGCACCCTGTTTCACAGAATCAATGGGAATGCCACCCACTTTGGATTTATTTGACAGACTGTCCACAGAGCAGTCAGCGCAGCCAATGTCAGACAAGTCTATCAGGTCATCACTGCCACTGGATGCTGCTCTGTAACTGGGTGTTTGTTGTCTGCTATGTCCGTCTACAGCTTGTTCCTCAGCGGCAGGGAACACACATGCAAGACGTGACTGTCTTCTGGACATGATACACACTTACACACTGACTTGTAACAACTCTGGTGACTACCATTCTGATAATCGAGTGGTGTTCAGTTGGTAGCTGTTTGTCTACTGAGCTCTAGCGACTTTTTGTCTTGTGCTAAAGCCATCTTGACTCTCAGAGTGTATGTGTCTGAAAACAGAGAAATACAGTTTAAGTTTTAGCTCACCTGTATATTTGATCTCATAAGTGCAACAGTATAGATAAATGCTAAATATCAGAGCTTTTTAAATGACGCAAAATCAAGTATCTGTTAGTTCCATAGAAATATGTAGTCAAACTTCTTGTATCGTCACATTATTACATGTCTGTGTTCCAAAGTAAGGTTTGTTTGTTTGTCGTTTGATGCTGAAGTCAGTAATGTTCCAGCAGTATGGTGGCAGTCTGTACATAATTGCATGGAGGACAACAGGAAAATCTATTTTCAGCTGAACTTAATATTTTGTCATCTAGTGCAAGTTTCTTGGGGGAGTTGATTTGGTCAATTTGAAACAAAATCGGTTAAAATCTGCGGATCAGCAGAAAATTGCCATCCCTGTAATTGAGTCTGGACCCTTGGATTTCAGTTAATGCTTGCTACAGATTTATACTGATAATATAGCACTCATATAAATTTGAATTTTTATAAAAAGGAATAAAGTTTCTTGTACTGAGTCTGACATATGGTATTGTTTTGTCCTGAATGATTAAAATATCAAGCTTTTCAATGCAGGTGTTCTCATGCTCTAACTATAATAGCTCAGATGAGACAAATTTGAGTTGAACAAACATATTTCTTAAATAGATACAGAAGATCACATGAGCGTGTACTTATTTCATAAATATGACATATAAAGTATAAAAACTGTATTTTGTAAACTTTGGCCAAGTGTGAGACACATCATTTATTTCTAAAATATGAGTGAGTGAGTGAGTGCTTTTAGCAATATTCCAGCAATATCACGGCGGGGACACCAGAAATGGGCTTCACACACTGTGCCATGTGGGGAATCGAACCCAGATCTTCGGCGTGACGAGCAAACGCTACTAGGCTACCCCACCGTCCCTCTAAAATATGATAAAGTGATGATACAGAAAAACTCAAAGGTATCAAAATCTTAAGAAAAGCAAGTTTTATGGATGTAAACTTCTTTATTGGGAATAATACAGACATTTCGGGAGTGTAAGCTTGCTCCTTCATAAACTATTAAAATCTTTTTAATATGATGAGACTCTTTAAAGAGAACACAAATTTTCATTCCCTAAAGTAACATTAGGAAAAGGACAGAGTTTATGCTTGAGAGAACAGCTAAATTTCTATTTTAATGCCACAATATTTACAGCTTTGTTTTTATTAGCCCAATGCACAAGGAAATCCCTGTCTTCACTCCCTGCAACTTAATGAAGTAGATTTTGAGCAAGGGCTAGATGTAGGGCTAGATACTAGACTAAACTACTATATATATACCTAGATACATAGGGTAGGAAAGGTGGTTACATCATCCTTTTGACACTGGACTGGATTAACTATATGTGTGCGTGTGTTTCTGCATGTCTCATGCGTGTGTGGGGGGGGGTGTTGGGGTGGGGTGGTGTCTGTGTGTGTGTGTGTGGGGGGGTTTGTTCTGTGTGTTTATGTCGGTCTATGCTTGAGTGCATGTCTGTATGTGTGTGCGTGTCTACTTGGGTGTGATGTTTCTGTGTGTGTGCATGTGTCTCTGTGACAACATTCAACTTATACAACAGAAAATATGTCTGGACCAGACAATACAGTGATTGACACTATGACCATCAATCAGTTGATGTGTGTGTCTATCTGTCTATCAATCTGTGTGTTCAGAATAAGAGATCATTGGACCGTTACCTGTCTTATTTCCACCGGTATCACCTAACACCATACGAGGCAACTCACACGTCTTTGGCTTCAGACTCAAGCTTTCATTCCTCATGTCACTGTCTCACGACAAAATTGATAAACCTCACACAAAACTGGGTGTGTATGAAAACTGTTAACTTTAGTTTTTTTCATTAGCATGCACATTTTGACCAGTTGACCCCCGACAAATAGGTCTGAATACAATGTTTTCAGTGACTTTTTAATAAGAAAATTTGATGATTTTTATGGAAAAGCATGTACAATGTGAATGACCCCCCTAAAATTATGGAACCCCCCCCTGCATGTCATGTACAAAATCAATGACCCCCTCTCCCCTTCCCATGATTTCTAGGCATAATTTTAAACATATTATTATGTACAAAATTGATGACACACACACCCAGCACGTGTGTACAAAATTGACTGACACCCCTCCTCCCCAGCTCCCCAGAACAAAATGGGTACACACCCCACACACCCCACCCACCCCCATATCATCATCTGACCCACCCCACCCCTAGCCATAAATTATGAACGGTCCCTTATCTAGACAGGGACATCTCAACTTGACTCAAGCCAATTTTTTCTCTTCTTGAGTTGGAGGCTCTAGCTCTTAACACCCTCAACATTTTGACACTGGAATGGACTACCTATTACACAGTTGAACACAGAACTTGGCAACACAGTGACTCAACCACGATGCTTATAATAATCACCGACATACTTCAGAAACCACGCCTGTGCTACACCATGTCCCATTTTCAGGTTGATATCACATCTCACGCGTAACTCTCTCAGTTGTCGCAAGCTTTGGCTCACTGACCCTGTAACTACTGTTCAATACTAATTAACTCGCATTCGTTTGGTACTGAATTTTGCATGGTTTTGTGGTCGGGAAATCCCAACCGCCATTGCGTCATGTGTGTGTATCGCCATTGCGTATCAATACTATCAAATCCCTTTAAACTCCAAAGTTGACGGGTACTGATTTTGCTCTGTCGATACTGGTCATGTGATTATTTGACCTCTGTTCTCTAATTACAGGGACTTACAATTTCCTTGTAGCAACTGTAAACATCCAATGCGGAAAAGATAGCGGATGACTGTGACGCATGCTGCTGGCACGAGACGGCGTGTGACGTCACCAGGGGAATCCCCAAATCAGATGTTCGTTTGAATACCGCTAGAAAATGGGATCGAAATCCATTGTCGTATGTATTCCAGGCAAAAGGCAAAAATGTTGCCGTCTCTCCATAGCCTGTTGGTATATAAAGACAACAACAACAACAACAACAACAAAACATTTCACCACAGTCACCTATTCTATTTCCATGGTGATTCGTTTCGCATGTTAGAACTGCTCATTATATTTCCTTACACTGTGAGAAAAGCATAGGGTCAAGGAATAGAATGGTGATACAACGTACAGGAACCTGTTAACGCTATGTGGGTTAAACATAGACCATAGATCTAAACACACATATATAAACTATTTATATATATACATGTGTGTGTGTTGTGTGTGTGTGTGTGTGTGTGTGTGTGTGTGTGTGTGTGTGTGTGTGTGTGTGTGTGTGTGTGTGCGTGCGTGTGTGTGTGTGTGTGTGCGTGCAGATCTATGGTCTATGTTTAATCTACATAGCGTTAACAGGTTCCTGTGGATGATACTGACGAAACACCGGTTTTGAATACAGGATATTTAAATTTCAAGTTTCATAAGATTTGGGAAAAAATTAGATTAATTTGGATTTTTATCCATTCTTCTGAGTGAGTGAGTGAGTGCGGGTATTGTAAGAATCCTTTATACGTGTCGAATTAGTCGTTGCAGTAACCTGCCGTCATGTAAATGTCTGAGGAATTTAGTTTGAGCCTGCAGCTTCTAAAGTCTTCGGTTCCTGATGCACAAATGTTCGTCGCGTGAAGTATTAAAAATGTTGTAACTTTATTTATATCTGAGGATGCAAGGTGTAGAATAAACAATGTTACGAATTCAATATATACAAATGCCAGTAGATTTGATGGAGTTCCGAGGCACCAAGGACTTTGTAACATTTGTAATAACAACTTTGTAGAAAATTAATTTCATTTCTTATTTGAATGTGAAGTGTATCAGGGCTGTACGTATTTTGAAGCATTACCATATTAAATTGATCAGCAATACTTTTAGAACACATTATCATGTACCAATTTACAACAGCAACAAATTGTTCTGATTATTAAAGATTATTAAAGAACACCGTTGATTCTATATCTGAGCCCCTGTGTTTACTGTTTCAATTTATCATTAAAGCATAGTGTATCCAAATATGTGGAAAAAGTGCACATGACATGCCACTGTATAAGAAAGGTGATCACTCTATTGTTTCCAATTATATACCTATTTCTCTTTATAAGTTGCATAGGAAAAACTATTTGAAAGAGTTGTATATAAACACTTGTATAACTATTTCCATGTTAACAAACTTTTTATATAAGTTCCAATCGGGGTTTAAAGCAGGTCATTCAACTGTCCATCAATTAATTGAACTTTACCATCATATTTGTACATCTCTAGACAGCAAAGAAAAATATTGTATGATATTTTGCGATGCATCCAAAGCTTTTGATCGTGTGGCACAAAGGGCTTGTACTTAAATTAGAGAAGTACGGTATTAGAGGCCAGCTTTTACAATGGATTTCGAGTTATATAAGTGATCACAGTCAACACGTCATTGTATATGGAGCTATATCCAAGCCCAGGTATTTAACAGCTGGCGTCCCCAGGGATCAGTATTGGGACCGTTTTTATTCGTGGTCTATGTTAACGATATTGCTGATAAATTAGATTGTGTAACAAGACGTTTTGCTTGATGACACTTCGCTTGGAAAATCATCGAAAAGTACTAAAGAAATCGAAACTTCTCTTAATGCCAATGTAGACATATAGCTGGGGCAAAACTGGTTGGTCTCATATAATCCTGCAAAACAGAAGCAGTGTTGTTTTCTATGATTGATGAAACTGAAGAATTGAAATTATTTTTGACGGAAAGCAAATTAATTTGGTAAACAATCATAAACATCTCGGAATAACATTTGAAGCAAACGGCAAATGGTCTTGTCACACTAATCAAATTATCAAGTCGTGTTCCAAAGTGATATCATCAATGCGAAAATTGAAATATTTACTAAACAGAAATACAATCAACAATATATATAAGATATTTATCAGACCACACTTTGAATATGCTTGTGAATCATGGGATGGTTGTACCGTACAACAGAAGGAAAACTTAGAGAAACTTCAGTTAGAAAGCTGCCAGAATAGTTGCTGGTCTTCTTAGATATACCTCACGGGAAATTCTATATTATGAGACAGGGTGGGAAAGACTGGATGAACGAAGGAAAAGAAGAAAACTTTGTCTATTTTAAAAAATTCAAAATAATTTAGCTTCTGTTTACTTAAAAGATATTACTCCAGATAGTGTGGGATCCAAATCTAACTATAACCTTAGGAATGCTAACAATATTATCCTTCCTTCTGCAAGGTTAAGACTTTCGTATGATTCCTTTTTCCATCAACTGTAAGAATATGGAATAATATTTCTGAAAACCGAAAGAAATAAACCTTCATTACAAAGTTTCAAGTTATAAACAGTGCTTGTGAAAATGTACATCACTTCCTATTAGAATGTAGACTGTACAGCATTCAAAGAGAGATATTAATGTTAAATATTAAAAAATATTGTAAACCGTGATTCTCCAATCACATTGTCACTGATGTTACTTGGAAGTCCTGACCTGACTATTCAACAGAATGAATGCATTTTCAAATGTGCGCAAACTTTTATTCATCAATCAAATCGTTTTGAGTGATCACATAAGTCGTCCCTTCCTCTGTTCTCTCTTTTACTTTCCTATCTCTTCTCTGTATTCTTTCCTAAGATGTATATAATACAAATTGTACGTATGTAAATATTAGGGAGCGGGTATTTTAAGTTGGAGAACTTTTCCCCAATCCTTTCACATTTGTGAATATAATATGTTTAAATCATTGTTCTGATTACATTAAGGAAGCATTGTCATTGCGTTCTTTATACATATATGAATATGATTGTTAATGCCACTACCTTTATACTTACACTTGTTTATTTTGTATTGTACATGGGCCTAAGGCCTTGTTTGACGAATATAATATAAACTTGATTGATTGATTGAGTGGTATTCTTTATTTCAAAACGTGTTATTGTATAAATGATTACAAATGATATTGTTAGATAATTGGCGAAGCGCCCTACTGTAAATCACGCCATTTACCATGAAAAATAAATTGTATTATTATCGCATGAATCTGCCTCTGTTCTCCAAACAATCCCGGATTGGACCAAGTGTACACATTATCAAACGTCCAATGTCAGCTTGGTTCACTCCATCCCATTCTTCCTGCAGCGCAACGCCATGTTCGTTGAGAGCGGCCGGTGGTTAGTGACGTTGATGTGCGCGCTGTCCATTGATATCCCACACATGTTTGATGGGTGACAAGTCTGCACTGATTGCTGTGGTAAAGGTGGTTGTGTTCTCCCGCGTTGGAGTACTAAATAGATTATTACACGAGCAAGTGTGTCATACGACTTATACGAAACGAGTGTGAAATTTACAGACTTTTGTAATAACTTCTTTATTATCCCAATTAAATGTATTCATGTACATTTGTGCAGTAAAACACTGTAGGCAAGTGTGACGGCCCTGTTCATTGACGTCACGTTCAATTATTGAATGACGTCACAGACGACGAAACACAGAAACAATGGTTGCTAGGCAAAAGTGCACATATATATATGACACTGGTTATGTTTCACCACTAGGATATATAAGTAACAATACGAGCTCTGTGTGCTCTGATCTTCAGCAACCCATGCTTGTTGTAAGTGTCTGGTGGTCGGGCTTGCTGACTTGGTTGACACATGTCATCCTATCCCAAATGCATTGATCGATGCTCATGTTGTTGATCACTGGATTGTCGGGTCCAGATTATTTACAGACCGCCGCCATATAGCTGGGATACTGCTGAGTGCGGCGTAAAACTAAACTCACTCACTCACTGAAATGTACAGCAACACACCGGCTCGTTTCACTGTAAATCTCGAATTTCACCAGGACCATGTTCAAGCAAAAATCATGAAATTGGCGTGTCTGCACGTGGTTAGTTATAAACACGACAAGCTTTTATTTCAAGGGTGTATCTCTCAAATCCAATGTCTGGTGTCGCGTTTCATTTCCACTGTACATGTAACTAAGACGTATAGAAACATCGACTGGTCAATTATGTATAAAGAAACATATCTACCATAAAGTGCATCATCGAGTATTGATTATCGGGTGTAGTGACCTCCATTGTGAGTGAGGAGATAGCTTCGGAGATCGACAAGATAGACCAAAACACAACGAGCAACTATGTCGGTGCTAACAAATATATATATCTGCTTAGTCATGCTTAAATAATAGTTTACGGAATACATAACATGTACTTAGAGAAACGATTAATTGACGATTGTCGACCTTGTGACACTCTTGTGACAACATCGTCTCAGGTTTTATATCGGGCATTAAGCATGTACTTTTAAAACTACGCACGTACTCACACACTCACTCACCCACAAAACCTGTGTGTGTGGCACAGACATCTGAGGACACAATCAGCACTAGCTAGCATGGACCTCTAAAACCCCTGGGAACAACCAGTAATTGTGTTTCCTAAGATAAGGAAAACAACTTGCAAACTAACTACTAAACCAAAATGATGAGCAAACATAAGGTACCCAAGAGGTACTGATGTTTTCAACCCGTGTATACAGTTCATTGCATGGCAGAAATCACCATAAACACATAAGAAATATCTACACATTCAACTAGAAATGAATTGAGCACCCCTTGTTTTTTTCACCATGTCTACCCAAACACAAGGTATCATTGGTGTCAAATGTCACATGGCTCTTGACAAATGGAAACACTGAAAATGCCAATATTTAATACTTTACTTGCTTCAAGAACTCTATTCCTTAAGTCGAGTAATGAAGCACTATTGGTAACCATGAAAACTATAGATCTTGGAGGTGATATGATTAGGTTCAAATAGCCTTAGCTGTCAAAACCTGTTCTTTGTCAGCTGACAAAGGTAATCCCGATGGTGAAAGTCAGTGGTGAGTGTTACTACCCTGTGCCAGGACGACAGTAGCTCCTTGTTCCCCCCAGTAATCCTTCTGTTACTGTCAAGACGTAACTGATGCCACCTGATGCATTGGGGTCTTCCCACTTACCCAACTCCTATTGTTTCAGCAGAAGAAATCACTGGGGTGTGATACTCCCCTTTAATCCCTTATTTTGTTCCCTGTGAAATAGTATCCGGGACCAAATGGGATAAAAAAACTACTACTTTTGACTCAATGTCTGTATTCATTAATCACACATACAAGTTATCCAGTTATACAAGTTATCCAGTTATACAACTTAATACAACATCAACATCATATCACATATTACATCAATATTTCGTAGCACACCTTTCACACTTATATCCAATTAAATGTGATACTGATTCAATGTTTGACATGACAGTTCTGGCACCAGTTATTAGTTCTCTCTTGTACATTTCCAAGGCATGGTTCAGGTCAACATATCTTCTCTTCCTAGGTGAAGGTCTGGCACCGTTTCTTTGCTGTAGAACATACGCCTCTACCCAGGCTTGCTCCTTCTTAAAAATGTTGGGGTGACTTTCGGCAAACACATCACTCACTTTACGATGCCACCCCTCCACATGATTTGTTGTCCTAGGATATTCCGTTCTGAAATGGTTCCACACTTCACGGTTATGATTACCCTCCACCCTCCTGTTCTTGATACTGAACTTACAGCCCCTGTAGACCAAGTACTGACCGCCGCATCACATTGGGTATGAAACAAGTGCTTACTTGAACGTTTGTCATAGTGCAATGGAGAAACAAGGACATCTCCATACTTTATAATACTTGTCATTGGCATAGTTCACTCAATTAAAATTCAGTTTATAACAAATGATATGAATATAGTTCACTTAGTTTATCTTGTGAAATATGTTCACCGGTGGTCATGAGATTGTTCCGTTTGGCCATGATTGGAGTGCTGGGTGAACTTGTATCACAACCAAAGCAACGGTAACAAATTCACCCTGCACAATCACTGACCCGTAACTGTTAATCTCTTTTAATCCCCCCCAGCATGTTGGGTAAGTGGAAATGAGCCGATGCATTCTGTACTGGTGGATCCACTGCCTGCTGCCCGCATCAAAGAATGCCCCAAACATGTTCCAATGGATTCAAATCTGGCTTTAGAAGGCAGGGGTTGGAAACTTGTTCAAAACTCCACTAGACACTGGTCCAGTAAACTTTCAAAATCCACTTGACCAAATGATAATTTCACTTAAATACAATTAATAATTTGAGTTGTTAGCAATTGCATTTCTATTTCATCATCAAAATACATATATCAAAACATTTCAGTAGTTTGCCACTGCTGTACCACGGTAAAGTTTAATGTGGATATTTACTTGACCGACGGGAGAATTCCACTCGACCCGGGCGTCGGGCAATGGTATTTTTCAAAACCTGGTAGGCCAAGGCAAAGAGTCAGTAGCATGTCCTTGCAGAAATGAAGTCACAGCACGAGAGTGTTATCATCCATTACCACATGTCGAGGAGCATGTTCATGATTACCAGAATGTGGCATGACAACAGGATTAACGATGTTCTGGATGTACCGAGTGAGTGATTATGGTTTATTTCAGCAATATCACGGGGACACCCTAGAAATGGGCTTCACACATTGTACCCATGTGGGGAATCGAATCTGGATATACTGAATACTGATGAGGTTCCCTCAGACTATTACCATGTATAGTTTACAATCATGAAATACTGCCCCCCACACCATGACAGAACCTCCACCATAAGGGACTATTGGTGCAACATTTCTGGCATAAAGCAGTGTTCCTGTGCCACCACACCTATATTTGTCTGTCTGTAAGATGCAGCAGGAATCTGATTTCATCAAAACAATGGATCCTGTGCCACATCCTCAGATTCCAATGTTGTCCTGCCATACTCCAAGCCAATCAGAGTCTCTGATGCTGATCAATGGGGAATTGAATTGGGTCATGAACATGACAAGCAAACGTTTTAACCACTAGGCTACCTCTGCCTCTGTCAACAGTGCTGACTAGGGAGTATATAAATACATGTACGTACTGGCATAGGAAAAGGATTCATTAATCCTCAGGCTGATGCCACTCTTACGGTAACTCCTATATATATACACCATCAAAATTCTTAGATGGGTGGTGGGGTAGCCTGAAGGTTAAAGCGCTAGTCACTAGTCATGACAAAGGCCTGGGTTCGATTCCCTAAATGGGTACAATTTATGAAGCCCATTTCTGGTGTTCGCAGCCATGATATTGCAGGAATATTGCTAAAAGTGGTGTGTAACTAACTAACTAACTAACTAACTAACTAACTAACTAACTAACTCATGTCCAGCAACCAATTATACAACTAGTGAGACAGTCATCTAAAAGATCTGAAACTGTGTACTTAGACTTATATACCTAATTTGCTGCTGTGTAAATGAATCACCGCTATCAGTAACTCCTGGAACATTTTGTTTGTTCACAGAGGGGGTGGGGCAGACACCAGAATTTGGCTTCACACATTGTACCCATGTAGGGAATCGGCCCTGGGTTCAGAAGCATGAGAAGCACACATGATCGTAATCGTGATCATGATCGTGATGGTGAATCATTTCTGATTTACTTTATCACTCTCAATCATTTGTTCAATCAGTAACTTCTGTAACTCTTTGTCTTTGTGTGTTGTTAGCTTCAGAGCGGGTTTTCTCATGATGTCCAAGGCAAACACATCAGCTCCATTCTTCAAGAGCTTTTTAGCAATTGCAACATGATTCCTCTCACACGCAACATGTAGTGGCGTCTGCTGCTTGTTGTTCAAAGCATTCACGTCTGCACCATTCTTGATTAGAAACTCAACCATGGCAGGCTCCTCAAACTTACAAGCAAGATGAAGACATGTGGCAAGGAACTTGTTCTGTAATTTTAAATCCTGCAAAGTTGGTTTCAGTTCTTTTAGAACCCGCAGACCCCCTGGCGTACAGCAAGCAGTGTGGAATGCAGTGTTATTGGTAGAATCCACGCATTTAGGAGCAGCACCTTTCTCAACAAGCAGTTTCACCAACTGGGGTTCCTTACTTGCACATGCATAATGTATAGGGAACCGTAGGTCGGGAGCTGGACCAATAACATCTACAAGTTTAGGCCAAGCTGTCAGTAAAACTTTCACCACTTCAGTCCTTCCATTTTCACAGGCTTCATGTATTGCCATCTTTCTCATCCGATGCCATACATTTGCTTTTGCTCCTTGATCTATCAGAAACTTCACGATTTTGGCATGTCCATATTTGGCCGCAATGGTCAAGGGAGTGTTGTCATAGTGATCATGAAGGTCAACTGGAGAGTGGTATTCGGTCACCAGCAGCTCCACCACTGGGAGATGCCCATGGAGACATGCAGTGTGAAGCATTCCACCTACTTGAACAACTCCTTCAACTGGGGACACAGTCAAGGAAGCTTCACTACATGTTGGCATTGCAAGGAAGATTGTTTCACAGTCTTTTACCATATCTGAAGATGATTTTACAACATTGAAAACTATTTTCAGAGCCCCTACATTTCCTGAGATACAACATGCTCGAGTGATTCTTTGGATATCCTCTTTAGATATTGGTAGCTTGCGTTTCTTGTGTTCATGGAAAATCCACCGAAACAAGTGTTCTTTCTCATTCCATGATGACCAAAATAATAACGGAAATTGATGAAGATTGTCTTTTGATTTTAGGATGGAGTTGATATCTGTTTTAGTCTCACAGTAATTTGCGAAACTCTTGATAAATGAACCATCACCTAAAGCTTTATGACGAGTAACCAGATATGGAAAACCTGAGCGTATCTCAGTCACAAATCTTTCAGACAAGAAGTCAAAATGATCACTCCTAATTGAAAATATCCCTCATCATTTTCTTTCTGTCTTTGAGAATTTACAAGCACTCTCTCACACAGAAATTCCCCAGAACAAATCTGCAGAAGTTGTTTGGGATATTCAGTCCCAAATACAATAGCAACAGCATCGCATACACAGCTATCTATGAAGATGAAGGAATTGTTGTTTTCAGACCTTTTCAGGTACAGGCCTTCATTCAGAAGATCTTGGGTGGCTGATTCTAGTTGAGTCAACGCCACTTCATATGGCAACATGTCAAGAACCTTTTGCTTCCTTTAGAATGAAACTGTCTTCTAATACACCTTTGAGGAAAGAATCTTGTAGCTCTCCCAAAACCATCACAAGCAACAGTACTATAAAATAGCTCTTATCATCCTTTTGCCACAACAATTGAGCTGAAAGCTTATAGTATAGAACTGGCTTCTGGAAGAACTTAACAGATTTTCCTTGGTCATGTAAATATGGTGACTTTGTAAATATTTCACAACATTTGGGGAAGGCAAGTGTGGAATTATTTGCACAGTTTACAATTTTATCCACTAAGTCATCTGGAAGGATAACATCTCGTTGCTTGAGATGTTTATACAAGATGGTCCTTTTGTCACTGACGGTCAAGCCACCAACTTGCTGTACATCAACAACAGAACTTTCAGTAAAGAATTCCTCAAGTTTCAAATATGGCCGACATTTTGTAAAAATCCTGTTGTTGCAAGTAAAGATGAACTTTTTGTTATCAGAAACACAAACCCTAACTGAGGCAAAATACTTTAGCAACAAATTTAGCTCCGCTTGATCAAAGTCTGATACTCCAAAAGTGTTTTTGATGAATATTGCCTGTTTCTCATCTATGTTCAATGCCTCCCTCATTTCTTGTACACTTAACAGGATCAGAGGTTCAAAGTTCTGCTCTTTTTGCAATTTCAGAAGAACTGCTTTTGCTATCATGGTCTTGCCTGCCCTAGGAGGTCCAACAATGAATACCACGTTATCCTCCTTTGACACTTTCCATACTTCATGAAAAGCCTCTGTCTTGACAAACAGCTTCTCATTACTTGCAATCTCCCTCAGGCTCTGTGCTGGAATACCAGATAAATACAGATTGACTAAGTGAGTATGGGACACCACGAACAGGATTAAAATAATTTACAGTAAATCTTGAAATTGTTGCGAAAAATTACGACAGTTGGCTCCTAGCCAAAAATGTGACTTCATGTGACTGAATTCAGCGACTAACATGGGAACTGATCTACACAGACAATCTAGTGATTAAGATCAAGAGTATAGATCTATGCAGTTGGGATACAATGACATGTGTCAACCAAGTCAGCCAGCCTGGACCCCGTTCCTCAAAGCAATCATAGCACTACGACAGTTGTAAGTCTATGTTAAAGTATGGGAGTTACGATCATATTAGCGCTACGACAGTCGTAAGTCTATGTTAAAGTATGGGAGTTACGATCATATTAGCGCTACGACAGTCGTAAGTCTATGTTAAAGTATGGGAGTTACGATCATCTTAGCACTACGACTGTCGTAAGTCTATGTTAAAGTATGGGAGTTACGATCATCTTAGCGCTACGACAGTTGTAAGTCTATGTTAAAGTATTGGAGTTAATGATCATATTAGCCTTCGACTGTTGTAAGTCTATGTTAAAGTATGGGAGTTACGATCATATTAGCACTACGACTGTCGTAAGTCTATGTTAAAGTATGGGAGTTACGATCATCTTAGCGCTACGACAGTTGTAAGTCTATGTTAAAGTATGGGAGTTACGATCATATTAGCACTACGACTGTCGTAAGTCTATGTTAAAGTATGGGAGTTACGATCATCTTAGCGCTACGACAGTTGTAAGTCTATGTTAAAGTATGGGAGTTACGATCATCTTAGCACTACCATCGTTTTGTGGAATGGGGCCTTGACCACTAATCCCATTAGTCACATCTACCAACAAGCATGGGCTGCTGAAGACCAATTTTAACCCAAATCTTCACAAGTTGATAATGATCATCTTGGGGCACCTGTGTAAGTATATCCTGACCTTGCACCTACTTCTAATGTTATGGTAACCTTCCCTCGTTGACATCTTGCAGATATTTTTATTGTAGTTGAAGTTTCCTACTGCTTGCACATTGTTGGAGCGATTGACAGAAACCGCCATGGCGATCTTGTCTTGACCTGTAATGGAAATATGATCATAACAGACCATGGCAATCTCCGAATGGACAATCTGATTTTGTTTCGTTAGGTATGGACGAGTTAAATAATGCTGAAAACAGAAAAGGTTGGGGAGGGAGAGAGAGGTGTGAAGAGAAACTATAGAGCATGGAGAGATAGAGATAAGGATATCAAAAGAGTCGTATGAATGAGAAACGGATGCGGTGATGAGAATGGGGGTCTTAAATGAGAGAGAGCAGTGTGAAGGAGAGCGCCATCAGACAGAGGGCCTTGAACGAGAGAAAAAAGGTGAGGATGAGTGCAAGGGCAATCTCCGAATATGGCAAAGACAGGTGTGAATGAGAGAGAGGGTGTGAATGAGAGAGACAGGTGTGAATGAGAGAGATGAGTGTGAATGAGAGAGAGAGGGGGTGTGAATGAGAGAGAGACAGGTGTGAATCAGAGAGAGGGGGTGTGAATGAGAGAGAGGGTGTGAATGACAAAGACATGTGTGAATCAGAGAGATGGGTGTGAATGAGAGAGAGATGTGAATGAGAGAGGCGTGTGAATGACAAAGACAGGTGGGAATAAGAGAGATGTGTGTGAATGACAAAGACACGTGTGAATCACAGAGATGGGTGTGAATGACAAAGACAGGTGTGAATCACAGAGAGGGTGTGAATGACAGAGACAGGTGTGAATCAGAGAGATGGGTGTGAATGACAAAGACAGGTGTGAATCACAGAGAGGGGTGTGAATGACAAAGACAGGTGTGAATCACAGAGATGGGTGTGAATGACAAAGACAGGTGTGAATCACAGAGATGGGTGTGAATGACAAAGACAGGTGTGAATCACAGAGAGGGGTGTGAATGACAGAGACAGGTGTGAATCACAGAGAGGGGGTGTGAATGACAGTGAGAGACAGGAGTGAAATCACAGAGAGAGGGTGTGAATGACAAAGACAGGTGTGAATCACAGAGAGAGGTGTGAATGACAAAGACAGGTGTGAATCAGAGAGAGGGGTGTGAATGACAAAGACAGGTGTGAATGAGAGAGATGGGTGTGAATGACAAAGACAGGTGTGAATGAAAAGACAGGTGTGAATGAGAGAGGGGTGTGAATGACAAAGACAGGTGTGAATGAGAGAGAGGGTGTGAATGACAAAGACAGGTGTGAATCAGAGAGAGGGGTGTGAATGACAAAGACAGGTGTGAATCACAGAGATGGGTGTGAATGACAAAGACAGGTGTGAATGAGAGAGATGGGTGTGAATGACAAAGACAGGTGTGAATCAGAGAGAGATGGGTGTGAATGACAAAGACAGGTGTGAATCAGAGAGAGGGGTGTGAATGACAAAGACAGGTGTGAATCACAGAGATGGGTGTGAATGACAAAGACAGGTGTGAATGAGAGAGAGGGGTGTGAATGACAAAGACAGGTGTGAATCACAGAGAGGGGTGTGAATGACAAAGACAGGTGTGAATCAGAGAGAGGGGTGTGAATGACAAAGACAGGTGTGAATCAGAGAGATGGTGTGAATGACAAAGACAGGTGTGAATCACAGAGATGGGTGTGAATGACAAAGACAGGTGTGAATGAGAGAGATGGGTGTGAATGACAAAGACAGGTGTGAATCACAGAGAGAGGTGTGAATGACAAAGACAGGTGTGAATGAGAGAGAGGGGTGTGAATGACAAAGACAGGTGTGAATGAGAGAGAGGGGTGTGAATGAGAGAGATAAGTGTGAATGAGCAAAGCACAGGAGTAAATGAGGGAGAGGGGGGTGTGGATGAGAGAATGGGGCATGAATTGAGATGAGAGTGAATGAGAGAGAAGTGAGTATGTGTGAGAGAGGGGAGTGCATTGTGACAGGAGAGTGAATGAGAAAGAGCAGCATGAGAGATAGAGCGGTGTCAATAGGAGAGTGGGGCATAAATGACAGAGAGCAGTGTATGAAATAAGCCATCAGGCTGGCTAGCTGTAAATTTAGACCATCCGTCAGACATTCTGCCCATCTTGGGCGGTCAGACGGGCCTTATGTCATAGACTCAGTGAGGCGCATAAACAATGATGAATGGCAAAGAGGGACATGAATGAGAGAGGGACGTGAATTACAGAGTGGAATATGAATGGCAGGCGGGTGTATGAGAGAGAGCAGCATTAAAGAGGGACGTGAGAGAGAAGGGGTTGAATGGAGAGTTGGGCATGTATGTTCCATTTCACTTTTTCCCAACTGACTGCTGTCCATCTTTCTTGTGCCCAATTCCTTTCTGCCCATCTCACTTGTGCCCAATTCCTTTCTGCCCATCTCACTTGTGCCCAATTCCTTTCTGCCCATCTCACTTGTGCCCAATTCCTTTCTGCCCATCTCACTTGTGCCCAATTCCTTTCTGCCCATCTCACTTGTGCCCAATTCTTTTCTGCAAACCCTAACTTGTGCCCAATTCCTTTCTGCCCATCTCACTTTGTGCCCAATTCCTTTCTGCTCATATCACTTGTGCCCAATTCCTTTCTGCCCATCTCACTTTTGCCCAATTTCTTTCTGCCCATCTCACTTGTGCCCTTTTCCCATCATTTTATCCCTCTCACTTCTGCCCATATGAGCATACACTTTGTGTCTGGTTTTCTCTGCATTATAAATGTACTCATTATTATTATTATTATTAAGTGTCTACCTGACTGGATACCATGGGCACTGTGTGTTGTTGATTCAGCAGTGTTGTCTCCATGTGAAGCTGAATGTATACCAGCATGACTCTCATCAACTTTAAGACAATACTCATTCCTTTCTTTATCGTTCCCAGTGGTGAATATGTCATTGCATGTTACCCCATTTGCTGTTTGACTGTGTGAATGCTGTCCATCTAAATTCATATTGCTCATCATCTTCATCAGAGAAGCTTCCTCGGAGACATCAGCCTCACCTGCTGGATCTCTTCCACCCAAAGCCTCATGAGGATTGGATGGTGTCCCTGTATCACCTATCCCTTCACAGGCAACTGTGGACAATTTACAGTCAGATAGAACTGCTTTTTCATCTCTGTCTGCATCTTTAATAAATGAATCCTCTGGTATTTCATCCTTCATGTTAAATGGAGTGTCCACCTTCAGAAAGTGTTCACAGTCCTGCCCATTGGGTATCATCTGCAACAATGAATCACTCTCAATTCTGTTATTTCCTTTGGATCCCTGTGAGGCTGGTGGATCCACTGAATGATTGTGTTGTCCTTCAGAACCCCCCACCGCACCATATTTGCCAGGTGACCAATGGTCATTACCTGCATTCACTGAGCCCTGTTCTGCTGGGTGCCTTGTGTCAGGTTGGACATAATCAGTCTCCATATTGCTTACTCCTAGGTCTGCACTTCTCACGGGTATGGATGAAGTTCGAGGCCTAACTGCATGTCTCTTGTGCCTACCATTCACTGTCACAGAACCAACATTTATTACTGGCAGTTGGTATAAACTTGTATACTTGTAGCATGACCTTCATATGCCAAACCAACATTCGTTACAGGTATTTGGAATCCTTGTACACCTGTATCATGACCTCCTTGATTACCAATGTTTGTTACAGGTACTTGGAATCCTTGTACACCTGTATCATGACCTCCTTGATTACCAATGCTTGTTACAGGTACTTGGAATCCTTGTACACCTGTATCATGACCTCCTTGATTACCAATGTTTGTTACAGGTACTTGGAATCCTTGTACACCTGTATCATGACCTCCTTGATTACCAATGTTTGTTACAGGTATTTGGAATCCTTGTACACCTGTATCATGACCTCCTTGATTACCAATGTTCGTTACAGGTATTTGGAATCCTTGTACACCTGTATCATGACCTCCTTGATTACCAATGTTTGTTACAGGTATTTGGAAATCCTTGTACCCCTGTATCATGACCTCCTTGATAACCAACCATGACCTCCTTGTTACAGGTACTTGGAATCCTTGTACACCTGTATCATGACCTCCTTGATAACCAACACTTATTTGTTACACCTGTATTTGGAATTACTTGTTTGTTAAACCTGTATCATGACCTCCTTGATAACCAACCCTTGTTACAGGTACTTGGAATCCTTGTACACATGTATCATGACCTCCTTGATTACCAATGTTCGTTACAGGTACTTGGAATCTTGTACACCTGTATCATGACCTCCTTGATTACCAATGTTTGTTACAGGTACTTGGAATCCTTGTACACCTGTATCATGACCTCCTTGATTACCAATGTTTGTTACAGGTATTTGGAATCCTTGCACACCTGTATCATGACCTCCTTGATTACCAATGTTTGTTACAGGTATTTGGAATTTTGTACACCTGTATCATGACCTCCTTGATTACCAATGTTTGATGCAGGTACACCTGTATCATGACCTCCTTGATTACCAATGTTCATTACAGGTACTTGCACACCTGTATCATGACCTCCTTGATTACCAACCCTTGTTACAGGTACTTGGAATCCTTGTACACCTGTATCATGACCTCCTTGATTACCAATGTTCGTTACAGGTACTTGGAATCCTTGTACACCTGTATCATGACCTCCTTGATTACCAATGTTTGTTACAGGTATTTGGAATCCTTGTACACCTGTATCATGACCTCCTTGATTACCAATGTTCATTACAGGTACTTGGAATCCTTGTACACCTGTATCATGACCTCCTTGATTACCAATGTTTGTTATAAGTACTTGCACACCTGTATCATTACCCCCTCTTGTCAAAGGAACTGGATGCCCTTGTACATCTCTATTGTGAACAGGATGACACAAAGGATCCCCCTTGTCTTTCCAAGACGTAGCTTGTCCCCACGTTGCCCATGTAACAGTCTGATCCCCACCTCCACAAACAACAATCCCATCAGTCTGCATGAGGTGGGAGTTTCTCAGACACACGGCACCCTGTTTCACAGAATCAATGGGAATGCCACCCACTTTGGATTTATTTGACAGACTGTCCACAGAGCAGTCAGCACAGCCAATGTCAGACAAGTCTATCAGGTCATCACAGCCACTGGATGCTGCTCTGTAACTGGGTGTTTGTTGTCTGCTATGTCCGTCTACAGCTTGTTCCTCAGCAGCAGGGAACACACATGCAAGACGTGACTGTCTTCTGGACATGATACACACTTACACACTGACTTGTAACAACTCTGGTGACTACCATTCTGATAATCGGCTGGTGTTCAGTTGGTAGATGTTTGTCTACTGAGCGCTAGTGACTTTTTGTCTTGTGTTTCAGAGTGTATGTGTCTGAAAACAGATAAATACAGTTTAAGTTTTAGCTCACCTGTATATTTGATCTCAAGTGCAACAGTATAGATAAATGCTAAATATCAGAGCTTTTTCAAATGACGCAAAATCAAGTATCTGTTAGTTCCATACAAATATGTAGTCAAACTTCTAGTATCGTCACATTATTACATTTCTGTGTTCCAAAGTAAGGTTTGTTTGTTTGTAGTTTGATGCTGCACTCAGTAATGTTCCAGCAGTATGGTGGCGGTCTGTACATACCCGGTAATTGCATGGAAGACAACAGGAAAATCTATTTTCAGCTGAACTTAATATTTTGTCATCTAGTGACAGGTTCTGGGGGGAGATGATTTGCTCAGTTTGAAATATAATCGGCGAAAATCTGTGGATCAGCACAAAATTGCCATTCCTGTAATTGAGTCTGGACCCTTGGATTTCAGTTAATGCTTGCTACAGATTTATACTGATAATATAGCGCTCATATAAATTTGAATTTTTTAAAAAAGGAATAAAGTTTCTTGTACTGAGTCTGACATATGGTATTGTTTTGTCCTGAATTATTAAAATATCAAGCTTTTCAATGCAGATGTTCTCATGCTCTAACTATACTAGCTCAGATGAGAATTTGAGTTGAACAAACATATTTCTTAAACAGATACAGAAGATCACATGAGCATGTACTTATTTCATAAATATGACATATAAAGTATAAAATATGTATTTTGAAAACTTTTGGCCAAGTGTGAGACACATCTTTTATTTCTAAAATATGAGTGAGTGAGTGAGTGCTTTTAGCAATATTCCAGCAATATCACGGCAGGGACACCAGAAATGGGCTTCAGACACTGTGCCATGTGGGGAATCGAGATCTTCGGCGAGAGAGAGCCAACTTTAACCACTAGGCTACCCAGCCGTCCCTCTAAAATGTGATAAAGTGATGATACAGAAAAACTCAAAGGTATCAAAATCTTAAGAAAAGCAAGATTTATGGATGTCAACTTCTTTATTGTGAATAATACAGACATTTTCCGGAGTGTAAGCTTGCTCCTTCATAAACTATTAAAATCTTTTTAATATGATGAGACTCTTGAAAGAGAACACAAATTTTCATTCCCTAAAGTAACATTAGGAAAAGGACAGAGTTTATGCTGGAGAGAACAGCTAAATTTCTGTTTTAATGCCACAATATTTACAGCTTTGTTTTTATTAGCCCAATGCACCAGGAAATCCCTGTCTTCACTCCCTGCAACTTTATGAAGCAGATTTGAGCAAGGGTTAGATGTAGGGCTAGATACTGGACTAAACTACAATATATATAAGTAGATACATAGGGTAGGAAAGGTGGTTACATCATCCTTTTGACACTGGACTGGATTAACCATATGTGTGCGTGTGTTTGTGTCTCTCGAGCAGGCACGCTTTCTGCACGTCTCATGTGTGTGTGTGTGTGTGGGGAGTCTGTGTGTTTATGTCGGTCTATGCTTGAGTGCATGTCTGTATGTGTGTGTGTGCTGGTCTTACTTGGGTGTGATGTTTCTGTGTGTGTGCATGTGTCTCTCTGTGACAACATTCAACTTATACAACAGAAAATATGTCTGGACCAGACAATACAGTGATTGACACTATGACCATCAATCTATTGATCTGTGTCTCTATCAACCTGTGTGTTCAGAATAAGAGATCATTGGACTGTTACCTGTCGTATTTCCACCGGTATCACCTAACACCATACGAGGCAACTCACACGTCTTTGGCTTCAGACTCAAGCTTTCATTCCTCATGTCACTGTCTCACGACAAAATTGATAAATCTCACACAAAACTGGGTGTGTTTGAAAACTGTTAACTTTAGTGTTTTTTTTAAGCATGCACATTTTGACCAGTTGACACCCCACAAATAGGTCTGAATACAATGTTTTCAGTGATTTTTTTATAAGAAAATTTGTAATTATGCGTTGGCTTCATGGGGGATTCCGGCTCTCAGAACCCCCACCAGCTTCCACCCTGGACCCGGTTGGAGTCTGCGGTGGTGTGGTTAGGGAACGTTCATAATTGATGGGGGTGTGGTTGTTGATTTTAATGGAGAAGCATGTACAATGTGAATTACCCCCACCTAAAATGTATGAGGACCCCCGCATGTCATGTACAACATCAATGACCCCCTCTCCCCTTCCCATGATTTCTAAGCATAATTTTAAACATATTTTTATGTACAAAATTGATTGACACCCCCACCCCCACCCCCAGAACAAAATTGGTGGAACACCCCCAATATCATCATCTCACCCACCCCACCCCTAGCCATAAATTATGAACGGTCCCTTTATCTAGACAGGGACATCTCAACTTGACTCAAGCCTTTTTCTCTTCTCTTCTTGAGTTGGAGGCTCTAGCTCTTAACACCCTCAACATTTTGACACTGGAATGGACTACCTATTACACAGCTGAACACAGAACTTAGCAACACAGTGACTTAACCACGATGCTTATAATAAATCACCGACATACTTCAGAAACCACGCCTGTGCTACACCATGTTCCATTTCAGGTTGATATCACATCTCACACGTAACTCTCTCAGTTGTCGCAAGCTTTGGCTCACTGACCATGTAACTATTGTCCAATACTAATTAACTCGCATTCGTTTGGTACTGAATTTTGCATGGTTTTGTGGTCGGGAAATCCCCACCGCCATTGCGTCATGTGTGTGCATCGCCATTGCGTATGAAATCCCTTTAAACTCCAAAGTTGACAGGTACTGATTTTGCTCTGTCGATACTCGTCATGTGACTATTTGACCTCTGTTCTCTAATTACATACTTACAATTTCCTTGTAGCAACTGTAAACATCCAATGCGGAAAAGATAGCGGATGCCCGTGACGTGTCCTGCTGGCACGAGACGGTGTGTGACGTCACCAGGGGAATCCCCAAATCAGATATTCGTTTGAATACCGCTAGAAAATGGGATCGAAATCCATTTTAGAATGTATTCCAGGCAAAAGGCAATAATGTTGCCTTCTCTCCATAGCCTATCGGTATATGAAGACAACAACAACAACAACAAC